CGGCGGTTTAGGTTCGATTCCCCCATGGTCCAGTTTGCCTTGCATATGCGTTCTGCAGTCGTAGTCGTAGCATCCAATCGCGGCTCTTAGGTCATGATCTGGGTGTCGTGCGTATCCGATGCAGGCGCAATTCTCCCTGTGGCACGGGCATGTTCCTTCCGTGCTGATGGCGTACGGCGCCGTTTCGTCGTCGTCTGATTCGTCAAAAAGGATCCTGCGAGGGTCCCCTGGGGCCATGCCGCCAGTTTCGTAGACTTGTCGTAGTTCCCGCTCCTCTTGGTAGCTCATCCAGTATCCCTCTGGTGGGGTCTCTGGGATTTCCTGTATTTCTTCCTCAGGCAAGGTTGTCCAATGTCGTAGGAGCTCCTTAACCGTTTCTGGAAGTTCTTCATGTCTTGGGGACGTTTGAGGCGTTCCTAGGAACTCGTAGGGCGTTCCTGGGAGCCGGGGTGGAGTTCCTGGGATCTCCAGCGTTCCTGGGAGTCCATTCGTGGCTCCTGGGTCCCGCGTGCCCCGCTCCTGGGGTCGGCCCGTGAGTTCCTGGGGGTCAATGGGTTCCCAGGCGTACCGGGTCCACCCTTGACTTTCGACTGTGTCCAGGTCAATCCGTGGATACTGTTCCTGTCTGTCGTACTCTTCGAGCTGTGAGTCGACTGTAGCCTGACTGGCTTCTCTTGTTGCCTTGAGCTCCTGCGTTTCAGGTTCTGGCTTTGTTTTTTGTTCATTGGTGTGTAGTGGTGGCCATTCTGCCGCCCACTCGGTTTGTTCATTTGTCGTTGGCCAGCTCATCATCCAGTTCTGGCTAGGCTGTTGGATCATGCTCTTTCTGACTCGCTTCTTCTTCTGAGTTGGTGCGTTTCCTGTTGCGTCTTCCTTGGGTTTCGTCCCATGGCGCCCACCGTCCTGTGTCGTGGCCTCTCTTAGGACACTTGTCTCATGTCTTAGTCTGTCTTGTGACAATGTTCTTAGGACATCCCCTGTCTCGTCCCGTATTTCTTCCTGAGTCGCACAGAGTCGCTGTGTTTTTTCCACCCCAGTGGTGTCGTACGCCCCTCGTTCCTGAGTTGCGCGCAACTGTTGTGGTTTTTTGTCGTCCTTTCTGCTGCGACAGTCTCTTGACATGTGGCCTGGCTTGCCACAGTTGAAACAGAGTCTGTTGTCCTTCCGACGCTTCTGTTCTTCGTCTGGGAGTCTTGCTGCGTCGAGCTCCATTGGTCGTGGACCGTACGGATCGCTGTTCCGGTTAGGTCGCTGTTGTCGTTGAGGTTGGAACCGGTGATGGGTCGGGCGTCCGTTGCCCTTTCTCCATCCCTCCACTTCCTTTTTCTGCATTTGTCTGTCGAAAAAACGGTTGTCGATTCGAACCGCGAAATCGATGAGTTTATCCATTGTGTCGAAGTCACCAACTCTGGCGATTTCGTCTTTGATGTGCGACTTGAGTCCTTCATCATAGTAAGGAATCAATGCATAGTCGTCCCATCCAAGGATAGCTGCCTGCTGCATGAATTCAGCCGTGTATGCTGATGCTGAGGCTGTTTGTCGGAGTCGTTTGAGCTTCCGTTCAGCTGTCTTTTTGGCGTCGATGTCGCCGAATGTTTTCTCCAGGTGTTCTCTGAACTTGAGGTAGCTGGAAAAGATGGTGCATGCGGTGGTCGACCATTCCGAGCGTTCTTTCTCATAGTATTCTCGGACGTATGGCTCGAGCCAGTCCCATGCTTGTCCTCGAAGGTAGGTTGACACGAAGATGACTTTGCTTGCTTCGGTGTTCAACCTGTGTTTGTTGACGTCGAGGTACATGTTCATTTGCGTGAGGAATCCTCGCAACTTAGAGCGAGTTCCATCAAAGTTCTCCGCCTTAGGCAACTTCGGTGCCATGGGCGATGGTGCGCCGAGCTGTGCGTCAGTCTGCTGAATAGACTCGCGTAGCTCGCTCATGTCACGATTGTGTCCTTGACCGAATGCGTTGAGCTGGTTGATAAGATTGTTGATTTGTCGTTCTAGTTCTTTGATTCTTTTCTCATCCTCGTCGTCCGATTCGGGGTCAGGGCGTCGTGACTGTGTTTTGGGAGGCACAGGCTCTGCTGCCTTACCCTTGCTGTTACTGCCGTGCGATGACATGGTGACTAAACTTCACAGTTTCGTGTTGACAGGGCGATCAATGTGTTACGCACTCGCTAACTGGTCGCACTATTAGTGTTTGGACAGTTGGTAGAACTCACTTTTGTTATTCAGTAGAATAACGATTTGCGCTGAGAGGGCTGGATTCGGCCTCTCAAGAGCAAACACCAATAAAGCCTTAAGTATCGACTCGCAACCGTACCGTTGCTATGCTAAGCCTTACACGGGCTCGGGTCTTGTTGAGTAACTTCGAAGGGTGTGCCAGGTAGGGCGCCAAGTAGGTCAGTCCGATGAGCTCCCCGTACTTGTGTGGGTTTGTCACTTGTGTGAAACTAGAAGAGTAATCCGAAAGGTACGTCACAGTAACTTAGATTGATTGATCGCGGAGAACTAAATACATGTGCGTGGACGAGCGTCCCTATATACCTAATCCTCCGTGGTGTGGTATGTTGGAGGGTATGTCTGGTGGTATACCAGAATCGACCCTCCCATCTACCCGTTGGTATACCCACTGGTATACCCAAGGTCACGTGGTCTTACCGGGTACTTGTACTTCTGGCGTAAAGTTGGTGACGGTAGAAAGAACGCTTGTTCTTGCGTCGCGCTAGCCGTCTCGTGGTTTAGTGCAGTATTGTTTGACACGGCGAATCAGAGGCTGATTCTGGCCGTTGGTCACGTGATCCGGTTCTGCGTTCTTTTCCTAGGAACGGTTGGCTCTCGGTGGCCCATCTGTAGGTCGCGGCCCCTCGTGTCGCAGGGTCCGTAACATAAATAAGGTAAACATACTAAGCTTTTAAATACAGTATATATTAGCACTGTCTTTAGGCCTTATATATAGGTATTTCTAAGTTTTTAATTAATATTATTATTCTTCTTTATTTAAAAATATATATATATTGTTACGCACTCGCTAACTGGTCGCACTATTAGTGTTTGGACAGTTGGTAGAACTCACTTTTGTTATTCAGTAGAATAACGATTTGCGCTGAGAGGGCTGGATTCGGCCTCTCAAGAGCAAACACCAATAAAGCCTTAAGTATCGACTCGCAACCGTACCGTTGCTATGCTAAGCCTTACACGGGCTCGGGTCTTGTTGAGTAACTTCGAAGGGTGTGCCAGGTAGGGCGCCAAGTAGGTCAGTCCGATGAGCTCCCCGTACTTGTGTGGGTTTGTCACTTGTGTGAAACTAGAAGAGTAATCCGAAAGGTACGTCACAGTAACTTAGATTGATTGATCGCGGAGAACTAAATACATGTGCGTGGACGAGCGTCCCTATATACCTAATCCTCCGTGGTGTGGTATGTTGGAGGGTATGTCTGGTGGTATACCAGAATCGACCCTCCCATCTACCCGTTGGTATACCCACTGGTATACCCAAGGTCACGTGGTCTTACCGGGTACTTGTACTTCTGGCGTAAAGTTGGTGACGGTAGAAAGAACGCTTGTTCTTGCGTCGCGCTAGCCGTCTCGTGGTTTAGTGCAGTATTGTTTGACACGGCGAATCAGAGGCTGATTCTGGCCGTTGGTCACGTGATCCGGTTCTGCGTTCTTTTCCTAGGAACGGTTGGCTCTCGGTGGCCCATCTGTAGGTCGCGGCCCCTCGTGTCGCAGGGTCCGTAACATATATTATACGTCAAAAAGCCTAAAAGTGGTGTTTTTAAAAATAAAATAAATTACAGAGATCTATAGTAAAGATAGTGGTATACCCTACTGGGTAATATATATATCTTCACAAAAAGTCTTATTTTTTAATAACTTTTTTATTACTATATATTTTAGTCCTATAATTTGAATATATAATAACTAATACTATATATATATATAAAATTCTAGTATCTAAATCCTTCTAGAAAAAAAGATGTAAATTAAGTATTAAAATACACTACATAAAAATTATGAATAAATTATATAAAAATGGGTTGAAATGGGAACCCACTGGGTTATTAGGTTTAACCCATTGGGTTTTGGGTCGGCATCTCCAACCCAAAATGGGTTATGGTGATGCCTAATACTGCTATTACCTTAAAGGTAGGCCACTATAAGGATAATATAAGCAGCTAGCTCTAAGCAATAAACCTAATAAAGTGTATATAGTAATAGAAGAACAAACAATAAAAATAGCCTTTGTCTCTCCTAAAATATTAAAGGAGGAAATACTTCTGGGGAAGGCGGGAAATTATATATAGAAGGCTAAAAAACCTCAACAATACTTTTAATATTATAGCGATACCCTGCTGCCTGTTTATCGTCGAATATATAAATATAGTAAATATAAATTAACTTTACGGCACTTTTGAGATAAGTACTTAGAGGATCAGAGATGTTATATGTATAGCGAGGATCTTTTATACAAAATGCATCTTCGTAGGTACGCAGAAGATGTTCATCGTCTTGCTACCGAACGTAATTACTACGCAAAAGAAGAATCAGGATCAGGCATTGATACGGGCTGACTGAGAAATGCAATCTATTCAGCTCAGGCGACACATCAGTCTTAGCGGACATGAATGCGGGTGATTTTCATAGCAGAGTCGGTTCTTTGGGCGTCAGGATTCTTTCACCTTCAACTGTAAACCTTAGCAAAGTAGCCACGCAGATGAAGGGCTGGCTGTTTTGGGGTGATGGGGATTCGGTGCTATTTTCCTAGCTTGTATAGTCAGATTTCTGCAACAGGCTAAGAAAGCACTTATTTCAATGGAATTCGGTATACGTACTATTGAATCCGCACTTTCCTCGGCTACTCCTTTATGATCCTGCTGCGGCCGGGCTTGTTCCGAGGCGTGAGATTTCTTATTGGTATTATCCGGTGGCTCAAACCTTCAAAAGTCTGCTGTCGTCGAGGTCTTGTTCTCATTTAGCCCTTTGAAAGAGCTGTCGGGAATTCAAGTTGTACTTTGGCAAGCTGTGGGACTAGCCTCATCAAGAGACAGCTTCGTGGATATCCCGTCGCTGAGATACTGCATTTTGCGGGCACTGTGGTCGCTTGTTGTATTCTGTTCTTTGTTTTGGTCGTCTATATGCGTATTTGGAGAAACGGGGTCGAAACCAAACTGGTCGACTTCATTTCGCTCATGCCGTTGCTCCATCATGAGAGATTCGTGAAACTCTGCTCGACACCTTGATTAGAATGGTTATAGGAACCCAGCACGTTCTGCTCCCAACAGGAACATATGAGTTTTCATGCTGCAGTAGTGGTCAGTTCTGAGATAAAATACACGTAAAAATGACGGGTAAAGCAACACGCAGAGCAAGGATGGCCCAGAAAAAGGTCTTGATTGGCTGGAAACACTACCGTGACAAGATTAGTGGCTTTGAGAATCAGGTCAGCATTCAAACCCATTCAGTTTCATACCCGCTGAAAAGGGTATTTGTTATGGACCAAGGCAGCTCAGGTGTCAGGGCAATCTAATTCTCCGAGTTCATCTCAGGGATTGAGTCCACCAGCCTCCGTGCCTTGCAAGGGAAGACTACCAAGGGCCACAGCGGGAGATCCACTCATGACGCGAGACTACGTAGAGAGCTTAGGCCCTATTGGTGGTGGCCGAGTCCGCGGTTCTCAATCACGAATTTGGGACGCCCAATAAGCTTTTCCCACGCACCTTGGCTATACGTGACCAGTCCTCGACAACGCATTTAGAGGAATCAATGATTTATCTAAGTATACCAGCACCGTCTTTGCCATGGGTATCTTGAACGAAAGAGCTTCGAGAATAAAGAGCCAACACCACATCACTAGAGTGCTCTCCGCGATTTGCTAGACCCAATCCGTTTCTAGCTCAGTCAAGGCCCTTGCCAGACAAGACGACTCAGAATAGAACGTTTCAATTTTAGCAGAACTACATTATGTAGTCGTAAACAACCGCCCAGTCTCCGCTCGTGGCCGGATAGCACTCTCGCATAGCAGCATGTATATATATTAAGAACGGAAATTTTCAGCTCCTAATATTGAGAATTTGTAAAGTTTCGTGCTGACAATATCGTGGCATGAAAGATGTTGATGGTGTAGAATGTAACGGGCTATGGAAGTTTACTTGAATCAAAATTTGGGGACGGGATTATTTCCAGGTCAAAAGATTTCTCGCTCGGGATCTTTTGGAAAATTATCAGTGATGATTTTTCTAGTACATGTTCCGAGGAACGAACTTTGCGGTCCTAGGAACAACGCACAGCACTCCTGGGCCCGTTTGTTTCCTAGGAATTGGTGAAAAGGACCCTGGGAACGGCGGTAATGGCCCTAGGAGCTCATCATGTCTGATTGAAAACGTACAAATCGCCGAAATTGCGAAATCTAGTAGTATGATGATCCATAATGACCCGAAATCGTGTTGATCTAGCTAGTACGTACAGCATAGCACAATGTTTCTCAAGGCTCTGCAGGGACAGCGCAGGATAATGCTTCTCCAAGGTGGAGCAAGGAGTAACTTAGGACCAATCATGTCGTGCTACTAATAATGCCCAGCCCATGAACATTAGTCCAGAGTCGTTTTGAAGAATCAGTTCTCTCATCACATAGCGTCTCAAAACGTACATCGACCGAGTCAGACTGCTTCTCCCTCTCATCTAATGCTTCTTTCTCTGCCACCTCCATCTTGCACTACTCCTCATATAAGATACCAAGATTTTGTGTGTCAAGGGTTGACATATGATAGTTTCCTAATGGGAAGACTCCTCCAGCGCAATAGAGGGGAAAATCCCCTTACATACGGCTGGGGCTCCATTTGACGCCGCCGGTCCATCCCTTGATGCCGGAGTAGTGCTCCATATAAATGATGCTGCCGCTGCGCACGATTCCCGGCTATTACGAATACAGACTCTTACATATAGTTACCAGTTACATAAACATGCCGATCAGTGCATGGAAGTTACGTGTCCTGGTGGAACCTTCTGGAGACATGCAAACAATCCAAACAGCGAAATGAATTACCCCTCAAATTTTAGTGAATGCGCCCAGGAATTGACGCGCGCGGCTCAACCAGGCCGGTTCCGTTTCACACTGTTCGTAGTTGGCCGGTCACCTAGCCTCTACAGCTCCCTCTCTTAAATCTCTAATTACATTACATACAATACACCCACTCTTCCGCATCCATTTCTTAGTGCTACCTACGCACACGCCAAAGAAGGTCGGGAAAAACATCCAGGAAACATGAATTCCACTACTTTAAGAAAACCTTCCACAAGCTGCGCGAATTGCCGAGCCGTGAAACGACGGGTATGTGTGAATTTTGACGGCTTCTCTCACTAGCGTCACATCAACAAGTATAATTCTGGATCAATTCTAACTTATCAGTGCGATGAGAAGCGTCCTCATTGTGGACAGTGTGTCCGCTTGTGTCAAGAATGCCCTGGATACAGAGATAAGTGGGAACTTATATTTCGGGACCAGACCAAGCAAACTATACAACGTACCGAACAGGCCAAGGTGATCAAGATAAAACGGCCAGCCTTATTGCAGACCGTTCCATCTGGCACAATGGTCAGCAGTCAAGTGTTTTCTTCCTACCTGGATGATTATTTCCCCCGCATGGTTAAACCAACCTGTGTGGTAAATTTGACATACCCTATTATATCGACTATCTATATGCTGCCTCGAAAGAGTCTGATGCTCCAAAAAGCTACTTCTGCACTTTCATGCGTCTTCCTTGGCAAGCTTCACAGAGATAAGCCTGCCCTACAATATGGGCTTTCGCTTTATAATGAGGCAATCTATGAAATGTCGAAGAGGATTGGTCGCAGGGATTACAGTGCTGATCTTATTTATACATGTGTACTCTTCGAGCAGATTGAGGTAAGAAACATTTTTCTGCTTGATAAATGCAAAGTTTACTGACGAAGACATAGTCCCATTACTGCCCGGACTCCCTTGAGAAGTGGTACGCACATATAAATGGACTAAGCGCAATTATGAGACTATACTCCCCTAGAAAGGGTGACTCTCCCATTATGGCTATAATCTATGGTCAACATCAAAAGCTTAGAGTGGTAAGAGAATCCTTTCGCTATAAGTATATCTGTATATCTAATTATAAGCATATCTAGCTTTTCTCAAGACTTATGCATCTCTCTGAGCCTATAGTTCGGTGGCTCAAAGAGCCTGGTGAAGGACTGCTATACGAATTGATTCAGCTCCTTACAGATATGTCGTGTCTTGCTGCTGCTGTCGATAGCGCCGACGTAAATGAATCTCTTGATCATCAAGCCCGTCAATTGCTGCTACATGATTGCCTGGTATTGGAAATGCGTCATCTGCAATTCTATGCCAAGATCAGTGGAAATGGCGAAGATCCTCCTACATATATGTCTGGAGAAATAAAAACAGGACTTCCTGCCACAGATGAGCTATTTGGTCCCGCCTACAGATTCCTTTCAGTTGGCGAAGCTAACTTGCATATGATTCTTTGGACTTCCCTGTCTCTTCTATATCCAATTATCTTCCAGGCTTATGCTGTAACAGAGAGTCGGACTGATGACATCCCAGAGCTTCTGCGCATTGACGATCAATCTCCCCAGAATGTGGCACATCAACTTTCCGCATTCAACATCAGCAAAGCAGTCAGATGTCTTCCGTACTGTGCGCAAGAGGGAATGAATTTATGGGCTCTTTTATATTGCATCTTTCCTGCAATTCAGGCAACACGAGTATTCAGTCAAGCTAGGGATTGGGAACGATTTCTTTGGGCGTTAGAGCTTTTCCGGTATTTTGGGGTATCAGGGTTTGACTTTGCTGCTCGGCATCATGCTCTTTGTTCCCATTATTGGTTTGACCCCTCGAAATATGGTACCAGTAGCTCCTGGAGGCTCCCGGATCCTAACGGGCTAACGAAGAGGCACTATCGATCTACGTGACTTTGTGGTAAGCAGCAAGATTGATACGATGCAATGAGCTTGATCCCATTTCATTAAAATAGAGAAATCAATTCATTTTGTAATACAGCAGTCACATGAGGATATCTAATGTCATCAGTCGTAAAAGGTTTGAGGTGGGCCGCGGGTATAGCACTTCCTTTTGACGATCCGGGATAATTCTAATAGTATATATATCATGGTAATGAGCGCCTGGTTATTGGGAAATAAGGGCATTCAATAAGCGATACTAATCATAGCGAGAGAAGAAAAAGGACAAGAGGGAGGGTCGTGGGCCCGGAGTTAAGCTAGGAGGGAAGCCAGCGAGCCGCAAAACCCTAAGAAAGGGAAACTGTGTCTGATCTCGATTGTTACACACTGATCGATGGGAGCGCTGGATAATCCGGACGTTCCTTTGATAATCAGCGCGAGCAAATTTTTGATCAATATCGTGCTAGACTTCCTGCTGATATCAACGTTCCGTGTTGGAAAATTTACGCCAACTATTGTAACACAGGCTATTATTCGACTAATTTGCGATACATTATCGGTGATGGCGGGGCTAATATACTTTGTTCGTGTAGTTGCAAGGCGCAAGAAGAGAGAAGCTGATGGCCACGAAGGATTGAAAATAAGCCTCTTTGCACTGACAACGTTAATTCGGCCAAGTTTATACACGTTCGCTGAGTCGGCGATCAGAAATTCCATCTATCTATGGCTTGTCAACAGAATAGTTCAGCTTGGAGATCTCTATGCTACGGCCTGGGGAATTTTCACTACAATCCGCTGGGGGCTGGTAATGATCCCTGTTTAGGCTCTTAAAGCGTCGACTTTGGCTTTTGTCGGACATAATTGGGGTCATTTTCGAGCAACACAGCAAATAAAATACCCTCAAGCTACCAGAACGGAAGTATTTAGCAACGTATTAGTCTGAACGAACATTGATTTGGGTGGTTGTGATAGTAGAATCGCTCTGGATGTAAACCCAACTGATGAGAGGATTCGCACTTGCTTGATTAGCGTAGACTTTCCAGACCCGCGATTACCTAGGTATAAAGTTAGAGTTCTCCGCGCTGATTACGCAGTCCAACGAGTTGACCTACCGACAACAACGATATAGATTGGATCTTAAGTGGATTTCCTCCTATGCTTAATATGACAGTCGTTTTCAGGGCTGTGCCGGGTCTGCCTGTTGTCTGTCTGCTCAGCGATGGCTCTAGGACGCAACCAGGTGCTGGGCTTTAAAATTTGTATAATTGTTCGGATGGCCTACCCTGCAGGTAGATGATCAACTGATTTTTTTTGTAAAAAAACTGTTGTTGTTGGAGCTACTTATAACTCTTAAGGTCCCTGATCGTTATGTAGGCTTATATATGAAATCTAGCCCCTGACAGAGCTAAGCTTGATAATAATTAGAAAATACTATAACGTCAAGACTATAAATAGATACGATTAGCTTTGAAGCCGATGGGAAGGGGGGGAATTGGTATTGTATTTCTTCTAGACTATCTATATTAATATTTCTAGGCTTAGTAATACTCTTAGTTATAGGTTTACCTATAATTCTTCTGATCTATATTCTATAAGAAAAAGAAAAAGATATATTAGTATTATATATAGTAGCTCTACAGATTAATATCTAATCTAGCTTAGATTCTATAGGGTTTTTATACTGATCTAGGGCTGATTTAATCTTAGGTTAAATAGTAGGAGAAGAGGGTATAGTAACTTTAGATTATATACTACTATAGGAGGATATAGGGTTTTAATATATAGAGGATACTATCTTTAATCCTTAGGTAGTCAAGAGAAAAGAATTAGAATTATAATAGTTACTAAGTTATTAGGCTAGAGACCTATAACTAAATAAGGATATTAGACAGTAGAGATCAGATTAGACAGTTAATACAGAGACTGATTCTTAAGAAGATCAAGAATTTAAATGCTTGTAGGATCTTAAATATATTAGGGTTCAGGTAGGTATCGATATACAGGTGACTCAAAGGGGATTTGTCTATGAATCGGTCTTGAGAGTCCGGGGTATCGTATACTTTGAATCCCGTGATACCCCCTATGGTGTGAACACTGTCCCTGCTATATACAGTATATTGTGCCTGAGTTCCCAGGCAGGAAGAGCCTCAGGCTCCCCAGCCAACCCTGCCGTGGTCTGGAACCACTTTGTCCGATTGCTGGCCAGTTGGCGCCCCAGCATAGCAGCTTTAAACTTAGTGAGCTTAGGTACTGGGTAATTGAAGAATTGATTGATTGATTGTTATATGCGTTAAGCTGCCTTGCAAGTGACCAGACTCTCAGGCGCCCTTGCAGGTACACGTGTCAGTGGCCGATGGTTCAGATGTGATCGGTCATGCATTAATCCGTTGATCAAAACCCATACGAGCGCCAGTCACATCGGAAGCGGTGATACGAGGCAGGCGGAAAAGGATATCGAAAGATTCTCGCATTTCAGCGGTACTTTATGTACATCTAGGGAAAATACAATTAGAAAGAAATCTATCAGTCTTAGATACAGGATATAGACTGACCGCAGTCAAAATAAATTAGAAAAAGGCATGCTTTCTCGAAATGTATCCTTCAACTAACAGTAGGTACCTCAGTATCGATGAGCAACTCTTGTGCCCCATCATCTCCTTTATACAACATTAAAAAACCAATTAAGTAGCAGCTTGCTTCTCCTGGGCCGCATATCTGCCCCGGCCTTCATCACTGCTAGACGCCATCTCGGCCTTCTCATGAGGGCCGGAGCTGGTTGCCAAAGGGTTGTCCAAGCCGAGCTCGGCGGTCATCTGAGCGATCTGCTCAACGTTGAGCTTGGGCAGCTCGTTGGCGACGACAAAAGGCCACTTCTTCTCGACGTGCGCCTTTGCAAAGATGATGTCGATCTCCTCAAGATCACGACCGGCAGTCTCAACGTAGAAGAACCATCCGAAGACAAAAGCGATGAAGTTAAATAGGGCAAAGAAGAGATAGAGACCCCACGCACTCCTACTGAGAGAAAACAGGCGTAAACATGACGACGGCGAAATTAGTGACCCAGTTAACGCAGGTCGCGGCGGCGTTAGCCATGGTACGGGTACGGAGGGGGTTGATCTCGGGCGGGTAGATCCAGGGGAGCGGTAGGATGGTAAAGGCAAAGAATACAATATAGACGTAGATACCGACGGCAGCACCATTAGCGTTCATGTCGGTAGGTTTGATCAAGCAGGCCATGGTAATGATAAAACTGAGACCCTGGCCCATAAAACCAATCAGGTACAGCTTACGGCGGCCAACCTTCTCAATCATAAAGAACGAGGGTATCGTGGCGAGGGCGTAGACGGTAGCGAAGATGCCACCCATAATCATGGATAGCTGGTGATCGAGCCCGAGGTTATCTTCGAAAAGCACCGTAGAGTAGTAGATGGCAGCGTTACAGCCAGTTAACTGCTGGAAGAACTGACCGGAGCAACCGAGAATCATGCGCTGGAATTCTTGGGTCTTGCCAAAGGTAAAAAGCGTCTTCCAGCTGCCCTTTGAGTGGGCAGAGGACTTCAGGTCCGCCTTCATAAGGTTGAACTCGGCCAAAACCTGGTCATCGTCGGGGGTAGCACCGTTGAGCTTGGCCAGAACATCGATAGCATCTTGCTCGCGCCCTCTCATGAGGAACCAGCGAGGGGAATCAGGCACCATCAGAGCGCCTATGCTCACAACGATGGCGAAAACGATCTGCAAGGCGACAGGGAACCGCCACTGGGCGGAGCTGTTTACGAAGGACATACCGAAATCAACCCAGTAGGCGACGAAAGTACCGACGGCGATAATAGCACCCTCGAAGCAGACGAGGAAACCACGGTTGTGGGCTTTGGAGCACTCGGATTGCCAGACAGGGACGTTGGCAGTGACCATGCCATTACCCACACCCGAAACAACACGACCGACAACGAACTGGCCGAGACCCCAGGCGTGATTGTAAGAAACGGTTGAAATCAAAGCACCGACGGTCATGAAGATACCACCAGCAAATACTAAGGGAGTACGGCCGGTCTTCCCACCGAAGAAGAGAGTGAAAATAGCACCGAATAAACATCCAATCTCATAACAAGCAGTAACGGCACCACGGTAGACGTTGATCTGGTTCTGGTATGATTCGCTCGCACCCTTAGGGATCTCGAGGGTAGTGAACTCTTTCGTGAACTCATTACCGTTGATCAGACCGGACATGAGACCCTGATCGTAACCGAAAAGGGAGAAACCAGTAACGGCGGTGATGGTGATGGCAAGACGAAGCTTTCTGCCCGTAAAGCCGGAGGTAGTTGTCCACATGTTGATATGATGAGTGCCTCTAATAAATGAGAGAGGGTAAGGAGATAGTGAAACAATATAGAAAGAATAGACACAGAATCTGGGGGTAGGCAACGCCTTTGTACCTTTTTCAGATGTATAGGTCTGCTTCCTGCGTCTGCGGGCATCAGGGGCCCCGGCCCTACGGGTCTCCATCGGTTGATCCCGCTAAGCGCTACCATGACTCCACGTCGCATGAATGGGGCGTTTGACCATCTTTGGCCCTCTCAGCAGCCCGCGAGACTTGCCCCTCCTTATGCTGCTGGTCCACTAAGGAGCCCTCGACCCCCACGGCAGGTCGCCATACTTGCCTACCTACAGTGCCCAAGCCGCTGCCTTGTTTAAACTTTCCCCGGCTTTGACTTTTTCGGCTTCGGCCGCCGAGGATTGGCCCGTTGCCAAGAGCGAAGAAGCTCTTGCCCAGGAGAACCACTCGTTCGTGGCGGATGGTAGGGGTAGGGTTGGAAGTCCCGGGGAGATTCGGAGTGGCCGATGGCAAGTTAGGCCTGTTCTTTCTACATGGGCACGAAGGAGTCATTCTAATGGAATAGATCGAATCAACTAACGATTAGTCATATGGATCAAATTAATCAAATAGAATACTACATAGAATGCAAAAAGAAAGTAGATGACGGCGTACAGCCTAGGATTATTGTCTAATCCTTGACGGTGGATCACTTCGGCTCCCGAAAGAGGAATCTCGTCCGACCCTCCACATCCTCCACGGGGGAAAACAGGGAGAAACCAGTGAGCCAAAGGGGCTGAAAAGCCTTTCTTTGCCCTAGGTGAGTCAATGAGCGTGCCTGAACCCCCATGGTAAATCCTTCGTGGATCAATCGACCCTTGGAGCCGGGGTCGAATCCTACTGTTGAGTACGGAGTGTCATTCATGAAACTCGCCTCAGTTGCCCCCTTCATTTCCCTTCATCCCCGTCTTAGCCTCGGCCTTGTTGACGCTGGCTTCGATGCCGACAGCCGGATAGGATGAGGTAGGCGAGCTGTATAATGACTAAATAGAGTAACCGGATCGGGTAATCGAGTTGTAGCGCGACAACTAATCCGCAAAGGGCAGTGATTTTCACTTGGTTGAACATTTATATCCAATGAACGGCTCTCTAATCAGCCTCGGTGGAGATCACAGTCTCCACAAGATGGGGGCGGTTCGAGTTTGTGACTGAGCAATTGAGGGGATCTGCATCTATGCGGAGCAGTACACTACAGTAGTGTACTCCAAACATACTTAAAGAAGATTAAGGCATCACTAAAAATAGTTACATTATCGTCATGGTTTGATTTAACTAGATGCAATCACACCCGAATAACGCAAATGAACGGCAGCGTAGGCCTAGGCACAAATAAAACCGCCTTCTATTCCAACCATTGCTACACTGCTACAATGAAGACGAGTGAGGTATCTTGACCAGCACGGGGCATCTGCGGCCTGAACATTGGCGATGTAGGCCTCGTTGACAGAGGGCTACAGCACCGTGAGGGCTACAGCGCCGTGAGGGCTGCAGGCGGGCTCGTGGCACTCCGTATATTCTTAGGAGGAAAACTAGCTATGCGGGAGCATACGTGGTTCATACATGACGGGTTCTGCGGTGGGCGGGAAGAAACCGTTGCGGAGAGAGCCCGGCTCTCCCTCGAAACGGGGATGTTCCTTACGAGGGAGGGGATAAACGAGTGATAACTGTGTGCGATGCCCAACACGGAATATCGTGGGCCCGACGCAAGGGGGCTCTCCGCAACAATCCCGAATAGAACATATCATTTAAAACAATTCAACACCACTTGTCGCTTGCTGTTCCTATCTCCCCTGACTTTCGTTTCAGGGCCGATGCGTGCGACGCGCGCGTCTTCCAGTGCATTACTAGACTTCTGAAAGGTGCTAGATTGAGAATGGACTAGCGTTTTTCAAATATGATTTAGGAACGATGTGTGTAGGAAGAGTGGTTAAACTAATTTGCACCTCCTCCGCATCTCCTATACCTCATTGTATGGTTGGCGTAACACCCACTCTTGGTAGTTAACTCAACTCAATTTTAATATACCTATCTTAACAGATTCGAAAATTCGTGCGGAGCGGTACTTCCCTCTATATATGGAACCTACTACAGTACAATATACAATACAGACAAATTGCCTCCCTACAAGGGAGCGCGAACGGGGCCTATCTAACCGGTCTACGACCGCAGTGACAGGCGAGAAAAACTTTGTCGTCGGCCATTTTAGATCGGCCGGCTGAAGTGGCTTGGCGGAATAACCGCTCACACTAAAATGCATTAGGCTTAAGGCATCTCCGTATGCCGCCTAAGGTGACTATTATAAAATAAACTAATATATTTAACTAGTCTTGAAAAGGAAATGCAGATGCGCCCTGCGAAAACCAGGAACGCTAAAAATGGCCCCTCAAGCTTGTTGGTTAAGGCGTCTTGGCAGGGTTCCAGGGCGGACTGAGGGCCAGTCAAATGGCCCCAACGTGAAGCTAGAAAATGAACGGGCCAACATGCACCTAGTGAGTTTTAGCACAGGGTCTGTAGCATTCTCTGTTGCCGCTAAATCGCTCGCTAGACTATTTGGCCTCCGTCTTCCGTAGCCGGGAATGATACCATTCATCTTTTTGCCCGGGGCACGGTGTGCAAGAAGTCCCCGGCCTGCTGGTCTGCTGAAGTACAAGATTGTGTCTTTCCCCCTCGTTTCATTCATTCTTAGTCATATTCACTCCGGCCGAAGCTTTTCGGCTAGACCCTCAATTCACAAGCCCACTCATCAATCATCATGCGCTGTGGATCGGCTTGGCTACTTAGCTTGGCTGGCGCTGCGGCCCTGTCCAATGCACTGTATCTGGCAAAGAGAGACAATCCGGCGGTTCTTGCGTTGCCGTTTGTTCGAGACCAGGACTCTTCGAGGAAGATCTCGAAGCGGTCGAAGACTGTTGGCGTCGCGAGCGGTAACAACCACGATGACTATTACCTTGAAGTAGGTCTGAAAGTCAACATCTGAAAGAAGACGACGGGCTAATTCTGTATTTTCCAGTCTTATGATTACGCTGTGAACTTGACATTTGGGACCCCGCCCCAGCACTTCAAGGTTTATCTGGAGACTTATGGCAATGGTTGTTGGTTGGACGGCGTGAATGACGAATTCTGCGGATCTTACCATAACAGTTCCTATTGTGGCGGAAATGGGGGCTACAATCAGTCCGCTTCGAGGACCGCTAAGGAGCTTCATGAGAAATTTGTATACGATAGCTTGGGCGAGATCGACAGAGGCGACTACGTGACCGACACTTTAATGATTGGCGGGGCCACAGTGAATGACATGAAAATGGGGATTACTACAGGGTTACCCTCCAGCATAAGTGAGTGAGGAAACGAAGAAAATTAAAGCGATACATACGCCTCATTGGCTCATATCACTAATATCAGTCTATATTCATAGATACTATGAAGCTCGCATATGGAAACGAATCTTCCACCTCATTGACTCAAGCACTAGCCGATGCTGGGGCCATCAATTCTCCCGCTTTCAGTCTTTGGGCGGGCAATGTCCTATTTGGTGGCGTCGACAAGTCAAAGTACAACGGTACTTTGCAAACACTCCCTATCATCGATAACTCCAATTTCTCAAAGGCCTTCCGTGTCGATATGGATGGCATGTTTATCAACGGGTCAAGCCTGGCCTCGGACACATTCCCAATTGACGCTGTATTTGACAACTCCTTTAGTGGGACTTACGTGCCCAAGTCGGTGGCTGATGCCATCTTGCCACATCTGGGCAACGTCTCGGTCCCAAACTCGTGGGGAGCGGTGAATTTCTCCTGCAGCTCAGTCAGCGATGACTCGACCATCGGGTTTAAGTTCGGAGATTTGGATTTCGAATTTAGTCTCAAGAAGTTCATATCGTATGAGCCAGGCATGGGTATTCCTTACGATGATCCTTTGACTCGTTTAGCTGATTTCGGTGATACTTGTTGGTTGTCAATTGCAGAAAACAAGCCTGAGCATAAGGCGATCTCGCAGCATGGAAGTATCATCTTGGGTACCGATTTCATGGGCTTGATTTACGCAGTGTTTGATCTTGAAAACGATGAGGTCTCATTGGCGAAGCGAAACTGGGACTCCTCCTCCACAGATATTGTCGAGATCACGTCGGGCAAGGATGGTGTTCCTGGGGCGAAGAAGAGTGCGGCTACTAATACACACATTGGAGCAGATCTAGGAATGACTGCGTTGATTGCTGCGTCCATGCTGATCATGATCTTCTGGTGTGCTTAATGTTTTCGTTTCTCTAGCCTTTCGTGTCAGTGGTATGACTTAACTAGATCAAATATATATCGATTAATTTCCCTTCTATTTTTACTGTGTGTGATCATAAGTTTGTGACTCCCTCTACTACACCGCCCTCACCGCCCTTAGCTTCTGACCTTACGTTGGTACGCGTTTTAACGCGCATTGCAACACGCATTGCCTTTTTTTTTGGATATGTATCGGACGGCATCTACGCTCAGTGGGAAAAGGAATGGAAGGAGTCTTGGAACGGCGGTCACCTTCGAAAGGTCGACAAGACACTACCGGCCAAGTATACGAGACAGCTCTACGGGACCTTGCCTCGCAACCGGGCGTACTTACTAACGCAGTTGCGGACAGGACAGCTGGCTGTCAACATATGCCAAGACGTTCTGCTTTCGCGACGACGACCAGTGCGTCTGCGGTGAGCGGGAAAGTGTGACTCACGTCCTCCTGGACTGCCCTGAGCTTAGGCAGTTACGCCGAGCGCTCCGGGAGAAGGTTGGCGGCACGTTCAACAGCGTGTCAACCCTACTAGGAGGACCTGGGGAAGGAGTGAGAGATATACGAGGTACTGCTTCGCGAGCTAAGACAGTGGAGGCTGTCCTGCTTTGCAGAAGCATTACAGCGGTTCCGAAGTCGCGCGCCATGAGGGCAGCTATCTAAAACAACGGCTACGAGGCCATGGCAGGCTCCAACGAGGCGCCAAGTTCGTTTAAGAAGTGGTACACGATACATGTATGTACATTGGTATATAGTTGCTGTATGCTGTATATCGCTTAGCGAGCGGTCAGCGTAAATGAAACCATCCATCTATCCATCCGACTGTATCGGACGTTCAGCCCCCGAGGTGTCCTTCTTGTCGATTGTCTTGTTCACTAACTGATATTGATACCCGTCCCTGCATGCGCAGCAAGCTCTCATTGCCCGAATTTTCAGTCTAGTTAATTACCCATCAGAGCGAACACTTATGTCGACGAAGATGAGTCTAGTACTCTGATTATGTAGACTAGCATGTTAGATGAAACTGGAATTTCACCAAAAGCAGATATACCAAGACCAGAGAGGCGTTCACTGATGCTAACAAAGACTTCATACGCCGATATACTTGCACGGTCCAAATAAGCAAATACGGCTGAAGACTCAGAAGCTTATGTCATCCTTGGTATTGCGGGTATTTTTTGGCCTTGCCATTGGTGTGGTTTCCTTAGCATTTGATCTGTTTGATAATTCAATCAAGCGTGAGTTTTCCCACAGCTCTTGCCGGATATTCTGCCAAACGACTAAAAGTGCCGATAGTATTCAAGTTCCTCTCATCCATGGTAGACATGCCAAAGGAATGCGAAAGATGTCGACTGCAATTAATGATTGAGTACAATAGACTTCTTGCCTGGGGCGAAGCAGTGGGCTTAATTGATGTACCCAAAGAATCAAATGTCGCCGTGAGTCTTGGAACGAACGCCATTGAGCTCTGTAGTATTATTTCTAGGATCGCATGGCTTCTTGGTGAATTTAAAGAGCTCAACGCGCGTTGGCATAATGAAGCCAGCTCTTTCACAACAAAAGATCAAGTGGCAATTAAGGAATGCGACTTGAACTTGGACGTGTCAAAGCAAATTTCAAGCTTGGCGATTGCATATGAGAAGTCTCAAGAAGAGCGCAAACACTTGCGAGGGAGCAGTCATATCATCAAATGGATTTCGAAGAGAGCTGGTCATGTCAAAGAGATAGCCACACATCCCTTTCGCGTTCGTTGGGTGATGGTTGATAAGGAGGCATTTGAAGCGTTGCTAAAGGATCTTCACAGCCTAATCGGACGGATCCACGAATTGATGGGAGACTATCGGGAGAGACGCATTCATGAGATCACTGCGGGCTCTTACCGAGAAATGGTTATTCTTCGCAACGATGTCGCGGAGCTCAGGAATATGTTAGACGCTGTGACCAGTTTTATCAAGACCTCTCAGGTCACCCCTCATAGCGGAGCTACCAACCCCAACGACAATGACGAAACCCTTCGAGATCTTCTACGGTTGAAGGAAATCAACCAAGTGTCAGATGCTTTGCTGATGAATATGAAACAAAGTGCGGATTTTGACATTGAGAGAGAGCTAAAAGACTTGTCCTGTGTTAAACACTACGATACAAATACACTTTGCCAGCAATTCACCTACGCACAGGCAGCGAGCTCGAAAAGCCTCTCCAGTTTGCACCGACCAAGGGGGTCCTTGGAAATTGAAGACAGGGGATTGGAAGTTTGGATTGAATGGAGAACGCTGCAAAACATAGAAAGAGGTTCGAGCCAAGACAGAGAATCTAGGATAAGGTCAGTGATCCTGGCACAGATGCTTCATACCAACAAGCCACGGCATCTCTATTCACCGAAATGCGTTGGCTTCATCGACGACCGAGAAGAAAACAATCGATACGGCTGGATCTTTGAGATGCCTACTGGATCCCATAGAAACTCCTCATTGGAAAGTCTTCACGGAATTTTAGGACATAGCCATCACAAGCCAACCCTGACCCAACGGATTTCGCTCGCTTGGAAATTAGCCTCTTCGCTCCTTTATCTCCATACGACGAATTGGTTACACAAAGGATTCCACAGTGCAAACATAATTTTCGTATTCAATGAAGGGAAATTCGATTCCGAGAAACCCATGCTATCAGGTTTCGAATACTCGCGTCCAGAGAGCCAGGAAACGACAACACGAAACCCCAATCCGCAGTGGGATATTTACCGTTGGCCGGGCATCCAGGGAGAGGCGCCAACCAAAGCAAACTCTCGAAAAACATATGACATATATAGCCTTGGTCTGGTTCTTCTTGAGATCGCACACTGGAAACCATTACACCAAATTATGTGTCTCAAAAGATGGCCAGAGCCCTCACGTCAATACCCGAGAATCCGAGCCTGGCTTTTGAAAGAAGAGCGATTCCCACCTTTCAAAGACGCAGACCCTATTGAAGAATTGCGTGATATTGCTGGAGACAAGTATTGGAATGCCGTTACTCGCTGCATTGTAGCCCATGGAGAACTAGGGATGCGTGTTGACGAGGAGTATGACCGGTCGAGAGACTCTGAAATGGGAATTGAGCTCCAAAAAACTTTTAAAGAGCTGGTTGTCGATGAACTGAAAGGTGTTTCCATATGAGCTTGTATATAATCTCGAGGAGGTTAATTCGGCTTAAGCTAGGCTGTATGGGCCCTCCGTATCTTGGTGTCACTAGCTTATGACTCTTCTCGCTTAATGGCAGTCCATCGGTTATAACTTTGACGATCTTGGACCAGAATTCATCACGAGACATGAAGCATTTATTGAACTGGCCGTAAGTCATCTTACAAATGATGTTCATTTCAATGCTGTGTTGCCAAACACCCATAGTGTAACCGTTAGAAAGCCTCCATCCTTGTGTCTATATGGCCTGATGTGTATAATTCTCCAACAACTCTACTATGTCAGCATGATGACTTCTATCTGCAAAATGGATGGCTGTGTCTCCGTCCAGATCCTCCAAATACGTGTCTGCGCCTGCCTCTAGTAGAATATTGACGATGTTCACGTAACCTTGTGCTGCGGCTGCATGGAGTGCAGTCTGGCCATTTTCGTCCTCAGCATTAACACTGGCTTGATTCTCCAACAAGAGTTCAACTACACCATCGAAACCATTTCGAGAAGCACAGTGGAGTGCCGTTTGCCCAACTGGGTTAGTAGTGTCCACGTTGGCATTTCCATTCAACAAAGCTTGCACAATAGCCTTTGAGCCACGTTCAGCTGCATGGTGGATCGCGCCCATGGTATTCGGGTCCATACCAATATCGAGCAAGCGTCCAACATCGCCTTCTGACCCCCATCTGCACGCATATCTTAATTCGTCTGGTTCCATTAAATTCACGTTTCCAACGCAATTGCAAGTGCTGGGTTTGCCTAAAGAGGACATCGATGACCAAATCAACTCTAGTTCTTCGGCTGAAGGGCGGCAAGATCGTTCAGGGTGTAGCATGGCTTGGCAGATAGAGAGAACAAGATAGAGAGAACAACCGCTGGCCAACCAACAGGGTGAAGCCGCTCGTTCGTCCACTTTTGAACTTCCTCGATATGTTTTGCATAGGATGAAGTTTCTTGAGGTGACGGCTTTAACACATCGGCGAGCTCCTTATGCCCGTCTGGATGGGTATGCGAGAGGAGCATCTCAAGGAACACTGCTCCAAGGGGAAAAAATGTCTGCGGATCGGCCGCGAGTACGTCCCTTATCCACTTCGGGAGCACAGTACTCCCGTGACCTCTCAGAGCTACGTGTCAAGTTCGTGGTGGGAACTGTTTTCCCAAGACCCATCTGAGAAATTCCAAAGTCGGCCAAGAGAACTGTCTTGTCCTTTACCAAGATATTCGAAGGCTTGATGTCCCTATGACGGATACCCAGGTCATGGATGTGGTGAACAACACTGATCAAACAGCCAAACCACTGGCTACTAGGGATCTTCCCTGGCCTGATATATTGGTGGAGGTTGCCCTCTGCGAGATCCATGACGACTGCAAATTTTATATACTCCTTACCTTCGTCAACGAAGTACGAATGTATGAGTCGGATGACGTGACGGTGACGAGAGTAATAGAGAATTTTCGCTTCTTGCATCAATCTGTGCTTCGTATTGTCACTTAACGCTGGTTCTGCCTCGATTATGATGTTTTTCCGGGCACATCTTAAACCCAGGAAAGGTGCAGAGGTGCCTTTGACTCGCTCGATATAGCCACTAATGAATGACGAATTGCCGTCAGGGCCAAACGGAATTTCGCTATCTGTCTTGTATTCATGAGGCTCATAGCTTTCTCGAAGAGCACAAGCATCCATGCTGGTCCGATGCTAGCAGCTGCGATAAGTCGTGTCGCCGAGAAGGCGCGTGACGGTCCGTTTTTCTGCTATCTGTGCGCTCCAGTGTCCCACCGCCTTGGTCGAGGAAGGGCGAGGAAACACGGATAGTAACGAATTTGGCCTCGTTCCTGCCGTGGGTTTAGGACGGGTTTTCATTTTTCCATACCCGGGTAACACAAATTGCTCTCGTTCCGGGTTCAGTCGCGTCAGGACCAGAATGGATATGTGACCTGCAATTGCCGAAGAATACTAGTCGCCGTTTCGGAATAAATGCGAGCAAATTTCCCACCGGAGGGCAGATCCAACCTCATGGCTATGGGGATGGACGATAATCATGGCACTAGGATGGGCTTTTCCCTGACGAAGCTGTCCCGTCGACACGACGAAGGGATGAACTTGTTGTAATATTAGGCTGGTGCGGATCGGGAATCAAGCCGCACCATCGGAAATAATTTCCGCATTGTCTATACGAAGAACCAAGTTGATTCCCAATCAACTTGGTCTTCTCGTTGTGTATATAGCCTCATGCTTCTCTCAAGAATAATAAAACAATTCATACCTATGAACTACAACAATAATTCTGCAGGCACATAGGCATAAGCTCCTCTTTCGGATTGCCCTATTCAAAACTGGTCCACACTACAGTATGGAACAGAGTAGATTGATCGTGGCTTGTGATGACGCAAAGCTTATACCTGAATTAAGCGAACATGCAAGTAGCAGCCGACAGCTGGGAGGATTGCGCGGAGAGATGATCGAACGGGTTAAGTAGGATTGACTCCGATTGAAGTAGCTTACTAACTGGGGGAGAGCTTGGGGCGAAGGGGGACACGAGGGAGGCGCGGACCAACGACATTCATTGGCTGGTGCGGTTTCAAGTGCTTGGCGCGTTTGCACCTTTGGTTTCTCTAGCAGTCGGCGTTGATTTCCCACTAGACCAAAATACAAAACCGTACTAAGCCAAGTGTCTAATCACATCTTGATGGGAAGCAAAGCATTAGCGGCGGTGTTTTCTCAGGTGAGTATCGCCGTTTGTTCATTGGCTGGATAAGAGAGCAACTTTGGTGAACATCTGTTTTGATAAATTCCCAGCATGAAGAGCGGGGGATATTGGTGGGACTATTGAGACGCGGTCTGGGAGCGCATGGAGGCCCGTGTGCTTGAAAATTGCCACAACTTGCTCTAAATTCATCGGGCGATCTTTTGCACTGTGAGCTTCATCTAATCATTTTTGCTTATGGCAGACTTAGAAGTAACTGTGTAAGTTAGTATTATGAGAATCTCCTAATTGTAAGCGTCTTACAGAGGCTCATTCCCACAGCAGAGGCGCTTTGTCCTTTTGTTAGGCTGACATATAATCTCCGACACCAAATGTCAGTCCTGTCGCTGATCATGAATCGTCCCAAAACTCGCCTCGATTTTCTTCATTCCTCTATTTCCTACCGAGTCGTAGGATATCTCCAGCCTTAGGATATTGAAAAGTTATCACCCTGTATCAACAAATGGCTCAGGGTAGCGTCTCTTTCCGTACTCTTCTGTGCGGTCAAATTTGAATTCTCCAAACCTGGATTAAAAGGGCTAAAACGCCTTTCGGAGTCCGATATATACCAATACGTAGTCTCCCTAACATACGTTGCCCCGGAAATCCTTAAGCCTGATAAAGATTGTTTCCTACGTCTGTGTATATTTGTATTAATATTCTTGTCTAGAAATCCTAAATTTTAAATACTTCAGTTCTGAACTATTGACCTCCAATAAGTATGTTAACTGGGTCTTTGGTCAGGATTCCTTGCCTTACGAATTCTTATTATATATTCTAGCTTATGATATTTTGAGCGATATCTACAAAGAGCAGCACTATATTATCTTATCCTCTGGTCTTCTTGATATTATTTGCATCACATATTTAGACAATATTCTCATCTTCTCTAAGACCCGCAAAGAGTATACAGAACACCTTAGTCTTGTGCTCAAAAGGCTAAGGAAAGCCCAGCTATTCGTCAAAGCCTCTAAATATTAATTCTATAAGATAGAAGTTAAATTCCTCAGCTTTATTGTTGGTCAAAACAGCATCTCTATAGACCCAGAACGGGTTTGAGATATCTAGGAATAGGAGTAGCCTATTGTAATGGTTACTAAGTTGTCAGGCTAGAGACCTGTGACTAGGCAAGGATATCAGATAGTAGAGATCAGATTAGGCAGTTGGTATATAGACTGATTCTTGAGGAGCTCAAGAATCCTAAGTAATTCTGGGATCTTAAATACACTAGGGCTCGGGTGGATATCGATATACAGGTGACTCCAAGGGGATTCGTCTATAAATCGGCCTCGAGAGTCCGGGGTATCGTATACTTCCGAATCCCGTGACATCTTGGGTTGGGTTGGGTTTTGGGTCAGGTTCTTCAATAGAAAATGGGTTATGGCGATGCCTAGTTCTGGCGATGTCTACCTGTATATCTAGCTTTCCATCTTAGCTTCCTTCTTATTCCCCTCAAGCTACTATTTTCGTTCGAACCGCTACTACTTTATTGCATCGTATGCTACGCTGTGCTTTGATCTGTGAGTATCTGAGATCCTCAGATTCCTCACACTAGTGATATCTAGCCAGCGTCCTTCCTAGGGGTATTAGCACCAGTACAGTACTACTCAATAAAGCTTCAAGCAGCATTATGGCTCCAGTGTCGACTCCCCAGGCCGGGTTTGCAGCGCCACTATAGCTCCCTTGTAATCAATACACATTGAACATGGTGCTTTTTAACGATCTGCTCTTCTGTCCCTGGGAACTGTAATTACAAGCAATGGCAGCGGTAGATCAGGGAACTGTAGATAAGCAGGAAGCGGTGCACCATGGCTTTCTTTCTTACTTTGGTCTTTGGCTCGTCAACCTTGCCAGCAAGGACGCGTCTTGGGGCCACCACTCACGGCCAGAGATGAAGACATCTATTGAGGCCACAAGTCCCTGACGTAGACACCATGTATTAGCGAGAAGACATTGCAGCCCAAGTAGAAATAAGTTGGATCTCCGAACCTCACAAATCATGTGCTGGACTCTACCTCCGTCGCCAAACGCCATCTCCTTTTCTCCTTTACTCCTTTTCTCCTTTACTCCTTTTCTCCATTGGAGGAGATTCAGGATCCGTCCGGGGTCATGGCGCGGGGTAGTGGCCGTCCGGGGTAAGACTGGCCGAGCCCATAGCCCGCGGATGAAATGACACCGAGCCGTGTCTGACTCTGGGATTCGTCGGGTTCTTTAAAGATCGATAATATTTATCTTGGGTCCTGTCCCTCCCCCCCCTCCCACCAAGCATAGTATTCCACAGAGATAAAGCATCATGAGTATCCGATTTCATGCCGGAAAAAAAGCGTTCGAAAACATTTTGAACGGATCACGTTTGCTGAACATTTGCCCGCCGTACAGCGCTAAATAATAATTTAATAATTAGCGCTTATCCTCTTCCAGCTACTCGGTTAAATTTGCTCGCTCATTATGATAGGCTTGACAGGATTGAACCACACTGACAGGGAATCAAAGGGGGCGGATTTCAGAGTGCACAGAAAGAAAAAAAGCTTGGGACGGGGCTCAGGCTTGACTCGCTAACTGGAGGAGGGAGGATCCTGGACTCCTACGACCCCAAGCAGGCAATTCTCCGGCGGATAGAACGCCACCGTACCACCATATTGCCACTTTAGTAGACCCCGCAAAGGAACCAGTACATTTCCTCCCGGCTAGTACCTATCAGATTACTTCGCTCGACAAACAATCAAGTGACGCTGCTACCGTAGTGCCCGGGGGAATGACCGCTATGAACGGAGATTTTGGGTTGAGGAGGTCAAGGTCCGGTGTAAGCTTCACTCAATTACGCTAAGATCGGGATCACCACCACGAGCGTGTTGTCGCAGGTATAAAGATCTGAAACCCCCAGTCGTGCCTGCCTCTCTTTTGTTCACCCATTTCTCTCAGAAATCGTCAACATGAACGACACCACAGAGAAGCCCTCAATGTCAGAGGTCGAGGCGCAGCCCAGCTCCCCGGGCGGACCTGTTTACGATGTCGGCGAGAAAGTCGACTACGACAGAGCGGGTGCCATCAATGCCGAGGAGGCCGAACATAATATGACTGTGATCGAGGCTGTCAAGGCCTATCCCGCTGCCAGCTGGTGGGCATTCGTGATGTCATGCACCATTGTAAGCTCTTGCCCATGATGGGCAGATCATTTCTCTAACGTTGCGATAGATCATGGAGTCATACTGTGTTTTCTTAATGGGACAGTTCATAGCCACAGCTCGATTCGCAAAGGATTTTGGTGTATACAGCGAAGTGGCAAACGGGTGGATTATCGAAGCTTCATGGCAGTCAGCATTCCAGTGCAGCGGGCCCATTGGTGCCTTCATCGGTGTATTCGCCGCAGGTCCAATCACCAGTTGGATTGGATACCGATGGGCAACCATTGGCGGTCTCATGTTTTTGAACGCCTTCATCCTCATCTTCTATTTCGGCACCAGCCAGGGGATGTTTTTCGCATCCCAGGTCCTGGAAGGCATCCCGTGGGGCATTTTTATCGCTAATGCACCCGCCTATTGTGCCGAAATTGTGCCAATGAGATTGAGAGCTCCAGCGACACAGATGTTGCAGATGTTCTGGGCTATTGGGGCGATCATCGTCGGTGGTATCACTTACCACTACCAATCCAAGGATGACCCGTCAGCGTACAGGTTCGTTCGCTCCCATAGTTGCCATCGAGAAGCACTGTACTAACAGCCATCCCAGAGTTCCCATTGCACTCCAATGGATGTTTCCTACTCCCCTCGCTATCCTACTCTTCCTTGCGCCTGAATCGCCTTGGTGGCTCGTACGAAAGGGCCGTCTGGCCGAGGCAGAGAAGGCTGTCAGACGCCTTGGACGCGCGAGTGCAAATGATAATCCCGCTGACGCAGTCGCAATGATGCGTCGCACGATCGAGCTCGAGGCCACTGAGAAGAAGCCCAGTCTCATTGAACTGTGGAAAGGTACCGATCGATACCGCACATTGATTGTGTGCGGTGTGTACGCATCGCAGAACCTGACGGGCAATCTGATTGCTAACCAAGCGGTTTACTTTTTCAAACGTGAGTCCAGCCTTTTCCTGCAACCTTATAGCAGACTAACACCAGCTCAGAGGCCGGCATGGCAGACAACACCGCATTTGCACTTGGTCTCATCACTTCTGCCCTCCAGTGGATCATGGTCATGCTCTCTTGGGTCCTCACCACATACCTCGGCCGACGCACCATCTATGTCTATGGTCAATTCATCAACTGTGCGTTCTTGGTCGCGCTCGGTATTGCGGCTTCAGTTGGCATGAGTACGGCGTCTAGCAATGCGCAAGCCTCACTCGGCTTGATTGTATCCGTCCTATTCTGCTTGGGACCCGCCCCTGCCTCATGGGTCATCATCGGCGAGACATCTTCCGTTCGTCTCAGGCCACTGACAACCGGTGTTGGACGAGGTGCCTACTACTTGGTCAATATTCCTTGCATCTTCCTTTCCAGCTACATGCTCAACGACGACAAGTGGAACCTGGGCGGCAAGAGCGGCTACATCTGGGCTGGTACCGCCTTCGTCTGCACCGCCATGGCTTGGCTCTGGGTTCCAGAGATGAAGCACAGATCTTTCCGTGAGATCGACATTCTGTTCAAGCGTCATGTCCCGGCTCGCAAATGGACGCAGACGGTCATCGATATCCACGATGATGAGTAGATGGAAATTGCTGTTCAGAGAAGCCTGAGTGGTACTGCTTGTGCAGCAATGGGCGGTAGAGATGAGTTTCTTACTAGATACTTACAGGTAATTATTTTCAAGCTGAGTTGAAGGGTGAGAATCAAGGCTGAATATACTGCATCTTCGCTCTCGTCGGTAATGGCCGCTACAGTACCAGAATTGCTGTATATCTTATTTAAAAGGCTAATACCATGTGATGTAGGATAGGAATGTCTGGTTTATGTATACAAGCTTTCTGCCCTCGCTTTGCCTGTAAGGGCAATCTAATTATGTAAATTAAGTTATGTATTGGACTACTAGTCTGTACTAGGTTATATGCCCTAGTCAACTGTGCTTAGTTAGCATAGTAGTAGATTAGTTATTGACGCACCGTACCTACGTAATAGACAGACTTATGCCTGCCGACATTATATTGCACAGGCCTATATTAGGAAATAACACGAGTGGATCAACTACCTCCAAGCACTTATTGAACGCAAATCATCTACTACGCATAGTGTCTTGCTTATATGATTCAACCATAATAATTGTAGAAATTTCATCGACGATGTGTGCATATTCGCACTGAGTGGGCCATGAGAAGTAAATATTGCCGGACTCAGATGAATTTATATTTTGAAGATCCCCAAGGGGTCCTATATCATTGGTCAGGCGTGGTAGCAAATAATGGCTAGAGGAGAAAAGTTCCACAATGCTGAAAAGCCTCATGTGGTCGGTCGGTGATCCTGGGGATATAAGTATCATGGACAGAGGCCCTTCAATATTTTATATAGGGTCGAGTAATTCAGAACAATTTTACTCGCGAATATCCTCTGGCCTTGAAAATTAAGTCTCTATCTTGATCATCTTCATCTCTGCCTCTTATGAATCAAACGTGGTAGCCAATGTCTCGTACCAGTAGTCTCAATACTCGCCCTCATCTTTGACACATGTTGGCGACTAGGGAATTTGACTTCAGCACTTGGGCAATCGTTGTTTTTTCTCCCCAAATAGGCGATTATACTAGGTATAACTACATGATTGAAATCTAAACTATTTGATTTGCGGCATGGGTCGCTCAACCTTTTCATAATCAGTTAACTTTCGAAGTCAATATGGATATGTCTCTGAATGACAAGCACTACAAATGCATTTATTCATCCGGGGTAGAAAATCAAATTTTGCTTTAAAAGAAAAGTCGTCTTTCTAGCTTCCTTCGCTTCTGTACTGCGACCATGAAAGGTCGCATTCTTGGTGTGGGAACCAGTGGAGCTTTCGTTGACACAGGTGATTGGGTCCAAGTTCGAGATTTAAGAAAGACGGCTCGTCTCGATAGTGTGGCTGGTCAGTCTTGAAGAAGATTGCTTCTTGTCATCGAAAGATGGGTGCCGCGACTCTCACACTCCAGATCATCCCGGGCATTCGACACCCCCAAGACTCAAAGCGAGCCCCTGCCTCTATCACATACGAGGCCACTTTTCTGAACGTAGCAAGGATATGCTCCGTATTATGAACCCTTGACGTTCTTATGGAAATTTTGACTTTCCGAAACGAGTAGATTGAAGCTAATGACCTATTTCTATCCAAGCCCGAACTAGCCCCTAAAGCTAAAAACCCGCCTGGAGGATCATCCTAAAAAGTTCAAGGTCTTTTTTCGCATCCTCGGCACCGCTTTTAGGTGTTTTCCCGTTGACAACAAAATCATAGAGGTCCAAGAGCTCCAGGGTATATGGATCCTCGTAGGTTTTGCGAATTTTCCTCTCCTGGAAACCGTCTCCAATCTTTTCACGAATTAGGAGAGTAACTGGAAGCCCTTTAATGTAAGGATTATCGAATATAACGCGTACAGTCTTTCGTGGAGATGCCACTTCAATGTGCGCACCGAAGAAGGGAATATCAGAGAGACCCGATTCATACACAACCGGAAAGTTATCGTAGCGGAATAAGACGCTGAAAATTCGGGTAGTGTGAGAACTGCACCGGCAACGCTCTGAGGCATTCCAATGATCTCCCTCATGGCCATAAACTATGAGCCCCAAGGCTGCGAAAGTTAGCTTCTGTTGGAAGTGATTTGGTGACAGCAAAAAGGACTTACACCCCCAAAACCCTTAGCATCCTCAACGATTGTAGAGTAACCTCTAACACGAATTACTTATCATTTATAGCCTGCTCGTATATGTCGGCCTCTTTGTTGGCTCGATCACACGAATCTTGCTTGGAGAAATCATCGAAACGCTGGGGATGTGCCTGATTGCGATACTGCAGTCGCATTTGGTCCAATCACATCCCTAACGCGAACATAAGTAATTATTTCCATTCTTCCAACATCCTCGACTGCATCGAGAAAAGCAGCCGCAAAGCGACGCATGGTTCCCACGAAGACCTTTCCTTTGGAAATCTTTTCAGCCTCGATAAGTCGGTCGATATAGCGCAGACAGATCGATGCAGGCTTCTCAATCAAACAGTACTTCTCATTTTGGAGCGCAAGAATTCCCTGCTCGACAGGGTATGCATCTGCATTTGTGATCAAAACAACATCCACGTCAGGAGAAGCACAAAGTTCTTCGGCACTGGCGGTGGATTTGGGCGTTTCGCCAAGGACGCGTTGTGCACAATGGCGCAGAGATTGCTGAGAAATATCGCAGAGATATGTTGTTCGGAATCGATGAGCGAGAAAATTGATATTGGGAATATGTGCAACTTGAGAAATTTCGCCGCAGCCGATGATTCCCACATGGAGTATAGGATCTTGCCGAGTCGAGCCCATTCTTTCTCGCAGGTTTAGGTGAAATTGTAAATATCTATCCCAGAAACCTCCCTAGAAGCTCTGAAGGCAAATCGATAACGACTTAATGATATTTATTTTTATATTGACCTTTGCCATGAGATAAATCCCAAAGTCAAATACATATGAAGCTTCCTCGCCGAAGACCCACTCGATAGCGATCTCGCGGGGTTGCGGAGTTCGGGGTGCTTAGTCCTCCCCGGGGAGTCTCGGCAACAAACAGACATCTACATCTACGGGTAAACCTCGGGATACTTTGATTACCCCACTAGAATAACCCGGCCTTGGAAAGTTAAAATCAGAGATGAAATATCAATCCGTCACATTAAAAGGGGCTCCAAACCCCTGCCAGGAGGCTGCTTGAAGGCATCACGAGTCGTAAAGCGACTATCCAGCCTCAAGTCACGTTGTTTTCTCCCAATAACTACCGCCCGCCTGAAGCCACTAAATAGTCTCACTCATTCGCCATGACGAATAACGAGCTTCCCGCTCTTCGATGGGGTATTGTTGGCACTGGCCTTATCTCGTCATGGTTTGTAGCCGATTTGACCATTGACCGAGCGAACAGAAGGGCAGACCACACCATCCAAGCCATTGGCTCCTCATCGGTACAGAAGGGTCAAGAATTCGCAAGTCAACATCTATCAGGCCATACGCCGGCCATCTACGGAAGCTATGCAGAGCTATACAATGATCCCAACGTTGAAATTGTCTATATCGGAACGCCTCACGCCTTTCACAAGCAGAATGCTCTTGATGCCATCCAGGCGGGGAAACACGTGCTGTGCGAAAAGTCTTTCACTTTGAATGAGAGTGAAGCGAAAGAAGTCTTTGCCGAAGCGAAGAAGCACAATGTATTTATCATGGAGGCAATGTGGACTCGCTTCTTCCCTTTGGTGCAGAAGTTGCGACAACTGATCCATGTGGATAAAACAATTGGCGACGTTCATCGGGTTTGGTGTGATTTTGGCTTGCCTAAAGATATTGCCTCCTCGCCGATTACTTCACGCTACAAGGACCCAGCGCTCGGGGCTGGCAGTTTACTCGATATTGGGATATACAGTTTGACTTGGGTGATATTGGCTCTAGAATCCAATCTACGGACGGAGACACCTCAGGTCCTTGCGACACAGAAAATTGTGCATCATGTGGACGTCGCAACATCTGTTTTGCTAAAATATCCCGACGGGGGACAAGGAGTCGCTACCAGCACTTTCGCAAGTAAGACTCCCGCCAACTTTTGTCGTATCGAAGGAACCATCGGCTCGATTGTGGTCGAGGGATTGGCTGCGTCGGTCCCTGCATCGTTTACAATTCAACTGCGGAATGAGGAGTCCCAAAAATACGAATTTGAACGACCAGGTCGGGGTTTCTACTGGGAAGCTGATGCAGTTGCCATTGACATCGCAGCTGGAAAGACGGAGAATGATATTATGCCATGGGATGAGACAATCCGCATCATGCATCTCCTAGATGAGATCCGGCGGCAGGGAGGCGCTCAATTCCCGCAAGATTTAGAATAACTTATCGAATATACACTCTGGACATATCTTTTCACAACATAAAATGGACCTCGTAATGAGATACAACTAAAGTCTGTGCTTAGGCCTGACATCATCTTTCGTTGTCAGAATATCTAGGATATTGATTTGTTCTTTTTCATACCCAATAACATTAATTCAACATTCATTAGATAGCCTATCCGAGCTATCGGACAAAAAGCCATGAGGGGTAGGAACCTTTCTAATTTAAGCCTCCTTTCAATCCTATTCGTGCAATGCCAATCAGGCCCACAGCTATTTCTGACAATATCCCGCTGAGGATCAATTTAAACCAAAGCGGGGGCTTTGATAGTGAGCTTGCCTTCCTTGTTCAAGGACGTGGGATATCCTGCCGTGAATGGATTCACCGACCATTCCTCTACTATGCAATACACCAGACTGCCGATGACCCCATCATGCCGCAGATAATGCCACTTGCTCAAGAATGCCTCCGCTTATGTACCGAGTGGCAATCCAATGTTCTACCATACCATCTTCATCATGGGACCTGGTATCAGGCTCGCTCGTCAGCGATTGCTGCTTTTAGGAGTGGGAAAATCGAGATGCTATTGGACTGGAGACATACAGTTCAACTTGCATTGAACTGCTTACAACACTGGGCCAGAGATGGTTCAGATATTGTCCAGGCAGCTGACGTTGTGCAGAGTTTATTCCATATGACCTAGAGACATAAATCTAAGATGGGGGTCGCACTGCTATATATAATTCAAAAAACGCGGCCGACATAGTTACTACCTCGGCCCTTATATTCATACTTCTTTGAACCTTGACTTAAAATGGAATTACCTACTAGTAATAAACTAGAAACAATAATTTGCAATTATAGATAATGTGATCCATTCAAAGGGGCTACCAATGACTCAAAAAGGAGAAGCCAGATTGTCAAACAGGAGTTAGTCCAAGCATGTGGTTACAACGTGGCCTCTCCGCCCGGTGTTAAGTCCGATCCGCGATAACCTCACCTCTCCACTTCACTCTTGCACCACCCCCATCCCCAATTCATAACCACATTCGCTCTCCACAATGGTAAGTCAAACCATAGCTTCATCTCCAGCATGTCACCCATTTATTAACTTTACTTCTAGGCCCAAACACCCCAACAACGACGCGCAAACGACCGCTTCGCGAAGAGCGAGGCAGCCAAGCGCGGTCGAGGACCGACCACAAAGGCCCCCAAGCAGTCATCAAAATCACCCCTCTCTGCGGGTTGGGTTGGTATGTTTACACAGATCACAGACAATCTGAACCCAAAGCCTCAAAGCTATATTGCAACACCCCAGCAACTCCCAAACTAACCTATTGCTGTTCATAGTTGTTCTTGCCTTTGTCGTCTGCGGTGGTCTCCTTATGGAGCTTCTCCGGGTTGTCCCAGAGCTGTGGTCAACCATCGCCGCCATGTTCTCGCGCATCACCGGATAAACACCCCAGAAATGGTGGTCGCCTCGATTTAAAAGATACCCCAACCACAATCCCAACCTCCCTTCCCCGAACCCGAAACGGACTCAAACAACCCTTGGTGCTGTACCTCTCTACCTCTCAAACCCCCTGTCGCGACCGCGTTCGCGCAATTGTTCCGCTCTCCGCCCGCCACATCACCCGACAATCCAATTCAATTCAATCCTGCCCTGCCAACAACGAATTGTCAGGATGATATGATAACCTATGTGACGGGTTAGACAGATGGACAAGATGTTTGTGTGAAGTGTGAAGTCACCCTGTGGGAATCTCGAAATTTGTATTATATGTTCATGTTCTAAACCATCCTATCCTATCATTGAGGTTCATGTTCAGATGTCCTCTTTTTCCTCCGTTTCTTCTTGTCCTTCTCGGGTTCACCCCCCTCAAGTGTCGTAGCCTTCTTCTTGCTCTTCTTTTTCTTTTTCACAAGCTCTCCCTCAGCCGGTGTCCCTTCTAATCCAATCCGCTCCGACGCCCGCTGCATGCGCAGACGCACCTGTTCTACGTTCTGCATCGCTTCCCTCATCTCCCTATCCCCATCATCACCCGCAGAGACAAGCCCGGGCTGTTGATAATCATTTCTCTCCAGAGTGCTGGAATCAACTTGAAGCAAACCCCGTCTGTTGCTGCCAGCGCCACTATTACCCCTCGGGGAAGAAGAAAGGTCTTCAACGCCTAACGTTTCATCGGCCGCAACCTCCATCCGTCTGGAATGGTGTCTCCGGACCTCGGGAATATCACGACTCGTAAGGCTCTTCCCCGCGTCGTCAAGTTTCAGGTCGATGATGGGAATGTTGTCGATATCTAGACCGCCTTCGTGAGAGGCTCCTGGCGTGGATGTGCCAGAAGAGTTATTACCCCCGACAGGTGCAATGTAGAATGGGTCGTTTTGATAGCGTTCCCGGCGTTCGGCCTTATGCCCTGTAGCGGTACTTCCCAAGACATTCTGATATGAGGTGTCGAGGTAGCTCGCCGCGGTGGTTAAGTCATGAATTGGCTTATTGGCCAAGGCGGGCGGAGGGGCATCGGTAACGTAATAAAAGTCCTGCAGTCCGCTGTGTGAATTGCTATCCGATAGCGAGCCATTGTTTAGACGATCGAATAAATCCGGTAAATCATCGTTGAAAGGCTCATCCAATCGTAGACTAGCAGAGAGCACGACCTTTTTCTGAGCATTGAGAGCAACAGGCTTTAACTCCAGCCCCGTAAACAAGCTTGGAATGACTGAGGTGAGAAGGAACGGCACTTCTTGTCCCTCGGAGCGCAATGCATCAGCACCCAGACGAAGCACTTCTAGAAATTCAATGGCTCGTTCTTGAACATCCAGGTCCGGGTGTGCTGCCAGTGACTCAAGGAATTCGACAACGCGAGCGAGGAGAAGAGACATTTCACTCCTCCAGCTGTCTCTGGCCTCACAGTCTCTATTAGCCTGGATAAAGACCTTGGGTATAGCCTGCAGAAATAATTGAAGAGTTTTGGCAGGCAAAGATACATTGGCCCCATCGATCAAGGATTGCAAAGTCCGACTAGGGCTTCGAAGATATTCCGCATATTCACCAACGACCCAGGAAACAGGGCCCAGGACGTCATCTCCCACACTCGAGCCGACAGGGAAGAGGTGTGGGCGGTTATCAATCAGCAACAGGGATTCAGCAGCCCTGCACGCTTCCATGCGTACTCCTTTGACTCGGACCGCGATGTTACGAATCTCCTCGCCGATGCGGAATGCCACGGACGTTTTGATGGACGAAGACTCTTGAGCTTGGCCGGGTTGGGGTGCGTTCCAGTAGTCATCCACTTCTGCCAGTGGAAGAAGGCCAACGAGCTGGACTAGAATATTGACATACCACTCAAAGTCCTCGATTTCTGAGTAATTGCTCTGTGAGCAGATGTCAAGAATGCGATGTACGACCTCGGTCCGATAGTCATTCGGTAGGACCTTGGCAGACTCTGTGCTGGTCGTGGGTGCGTTGTTTTCTTCGAAATCTTCATCTGCCACACCGGACGCGTCTGCCGAAGCTGAGAGCGGGGCGAATCGAAGTTGCTCGACGAGACGATTGACCACTTCCTGAAGGGTATCACTAGTGACCATTCCCGCAGCGAGCTCTAGGGCCTGTAGTCGGATTGATATATCTGCATCATCCAGGCACTCCATGATGACGTCCTGCTGCACCGATACTAACGAGGGGTGCGTTGTGACGATCCGATTTAATGCGAGAAGAGCAACATATTTAACTGTATCATGAAAAATGGTGAGAAATCGAAGCAGATGGTTATAGGATGGGAGCACTCACGGTTGGGATCCGAGTCTATAACGATCATGCCGCGAAGTTTGCCGACGCAAAGACTGGCAACCTCGTCTCGTTCTTGCAGATTATCTTCTCCATCGAGAATGCCACCTTGGATAATGCCATTGATACATTCATATAGCAATGACATGGCCGTTGTAGTTTGAATAATATTGGTCAGCGGTCGTAGAAGCTTTCGTGTTAGTCGCGGCTCCAAGGGTGTTAAAGTTGCAAACTGTTTGGAAGAGGTCAGACAGTGCCAAAGAAAGGAACATTCCGGGAGAATGGCATGAATTGTAACTTACGAGTTTGATGATCTTGATAGCCATCCAATTATTACCGCTATCCACGAGAAGCTCGAAAAGCCGCGGGGCCAAGGGGAGAAAATCATGCGGACGTCGCCAACCAAGCTCGCATACAACGTTGATTGCAGCTGTGGTCACACTGGCCTCTTCTTGATCGTCCATAAGATGGTCCTTTATTCTTGGCCATGCCAGTTTCAACGCCTCGGGGTAAACCAACGAGATTCTGTAGAGGGTAACGATCGTTTTCTTGCGGACCACGGGACTGGAATGCGAAAGGCGAGATAAAATGTCGGGAAGTAGAGACATGGAAAGTGATGGGGTGATGATATGTGGCAGCGTCGCCAGTGGTAATGATAGTCCGGGAATACTGGGTGACACAATGTCCTGCAATGAGTGAGCCAAGATGACACTTTAGAAAGAAACCGTGATAAACATTAGAGGCATACCTTCTTGAGCATGTTAGTTGCCAGCATTAGGACCTCTGTATCCGGTCTAAAGCTCTGGACAGCTCCGAGGTAGCCGACTCGTTTCTGAAGATATTTTGCCGATGACATGACCTCCAAAACATTGAAAGCCGCCCATGACATATCATAACCGAACATCTCGAGATATATGAGTTTCAGTAGAGCTGTGGCCTTTTTATCTGCACGTAGAATGTATATTCAGTATACTTGGTCGTGGCGGTCGGGGCGGTCGGGGGGCGGGACACAGTGGCGCATACCCATATCCTGTGATTTGATCTCAGCCTTGCATTCGCGCAAGGCATTCTGAATGTATTCATCTTCTGTGCCTTTATGGTTCCGAAGACCTTTGATCAGGTCATAGAGGGATTTCTCGAACCTAGAGATTGCGTAGAGTCATGTTAGAAACCCTCGAACTGAACAGAAACAGGCCGACAATTGACGCCGATGTCGAACTAGTCATACTCACATCGTGTATTTTATCACCCGCGTGGCGGAGCGCGAGTCTCAAGTGTGCAATCCTCAAAATATTTGTAACAGTTTCTCTCCCCAGAGCAGAACAGCATGGACTGCACGAGAGCTCCTCAGGAATGATCACACACACTATGGGAATGGGAAGCTCCGCTGGGTTGACGTGGGGAGCCGATAAGAATCACGGGACCGTGTATCGGGATTCCCCACCGGCACTCGGGGACATTAACATTCATTAACATTGGCATTGACGCTGACAGCTACACCTTCGTCCTCTTCCTCCCCAGAATTTCTCTACTCAATTGCAGCTTCCCAGATCAATATGGGTGCCCCTGTCGACGTTCGCGAGATCAATGGATCCGATCTGATGTCTGCCCTCCACCTGGCCCAACAAGCCCCGGCCATCCTCGGCCCCAATCCTACGAAAGCGACGACATCAACTACGGGTACGGCGGAGGAATACAGACAACTTGAACAGCTTTTCCTTGCCTGTCTACGAACAGGCGATGATCAGTCCGCGCAAGCATGCCTCGATCGACTCAGCCACCGCTTCGGCCCTGCCAACGAGAGAGTAATGGGGCTCTGCGGGTTGTACCAGGAGGCAACCGCCAAGGATCGTGCAGCTCTAGAAAAGTGTCGCGAGGAATACGAGAAGATTTTGTCCGAAAGTCCAGTCAATGTGGTTCGTTCTGGTCCTTGTCAACCTCTTCAACCGGGGTCTTCCTCGCCTACCCTAGGGTAACCTTTTTGCTAATCTGTCATCACTGGCTAGCCCATCATGAAGCGGCGAGTGGCCCTGCTACGCTCCCTCGACCGACCCACCGAAGCGATCGCTGCCCTGATCCAACTACTAGATGCCCTGCCCACCGATGCGGAAGCCTGGTGTGAACTGGCCGATCTATACCAATCCCAAGGACTGGGTTCTCAAGCAATCTTCAGCTTGGAGGAAGCGTTGCTGATTGCTCCCAACGCCTGGAATGTATGATGACGACCTGACCTAACCTATCTTGCTTGCTGCCTGTCAGATTTTGATATTGACGAATATGCAGATTCACGCCCGGCTCGGTGAGCTCCTGTACGTCAGCTCTTCGGCTCCCGATAGCGACGCATCGCGACTTGGAAGTAAATCGGTGCAGCATTTCTGCCGGAGTATCGAACTTTGTGACGACTACTTACGAGGATTTTATGGGTTGATCCTGGTAGGCAGTCCCACCTGACCTGATTTCTCGCAGCCTGCTGACTTTGACCTCTTTTTTCTTCTCCTTTTCCAGGCAACTTCCCGAATGCTCGAGAACGGACACGCGGATGAACGCCCATCGGACCCAACGGTCGCCCCCAAGAAAACGCTAGACCAGTTGAAAGGCTTTGGTCTCCAGCGGCTTGGAGAGATCGTCGAGTCTCGATCGGTCGATGATCAGCATTGGGCATCGAGTCGCAGTGAGCTGATTGCGGCCAAAGAATTGCTGAATCGGTTTGCGTCTTCATAGTTGGGGCTCTTTAGGGGTTTTTTTGGTTTTTTCTTCAAATTTCTTTTTCTGTTCATCCTCATCTTCTACCATTCCCAATGTTGTTGCGCTCCTGTACCAAATACTCTCGTGGATACCCTCACCTATTATGCCAGTTGTCAAATGCAAAAAGATGGCCTAGACCAAATGGCAGCCTCCAGTCTAATTACACTAAACCCCCACCCTGCATCTCACATGGCAAGTACATACAGATGACTCGTCTGATCCCAATTCCAGATCGTTCTACAAGTCTCCGGTTGAGTATGATTGGGCACATTCGGGCAGCCGATCCATCTGTTAGACATCGGAGTTTACATTAGATATGCAAAGAAAAGGGAAAAGGGAAAAGGAAAAGGAAAAAGAAAAATAGGAAAAATAGGAAAAATAGGAAAAATAGAACCAGAGAAAAAAAAGAGAAAAGAGAAATAACATGAATCATACAGTAGTCCTGCCCTACACTTGTCAGTTGGTTACACATCATGCCCAACTCAGCCCAATAAAAACGGCAGTCGGGCAAAAACACCCACACTTCAAAATCTGCTTCTTTTCCCTTTCTTTTCACTTTTTTCCCCCTGGACTTTTGGTCTTTTTAATTTTTAATATTTTATACTTTTGTCTAGTGGTTCACTGTAGTCAAACTACTGCTTGACTACTTGACTATTTTGGAACTAAGAATCCTTTACGCAAGGGGATCTCTGAAGTCTAAGACAACTCACAATCTAGCGGGGCTCTTTGTCAAAGAGTCTTTTCTTTTCTTTCCCCCCCCCGCGTCTGCCATTCTTCAACCCAAAAAAAAAGGAACCATCACAACAACAACACTCCACACTCTTACCACCCACACCACCAACCACCACCTTACCCTCCTCGCTTTGTCTAGGCGAAAGAGCGAGGGTATCTGTCTGATCCATCTCTATATTACTTACAATTATAGAGTAGAGGCTCTACCTTTATGACGTATGTTTTGACCGAGTTCCCCTCTTCCCTTCCCTTCCCTTCCTCCCCTCTCTTCTTCTTCTTCCCTTCCTAAACTTTCCCTCCTTCTTACCCGCATATACCACAATCCCTCCTTTCCCACACCCCCTTTCTTCCTTTCTTCCTCTTCTCCTCCTCTCCTCCTCTTCTCCTCCCCTTCCTTACTGACTCTGCCCTCCTCCCCTTCAGGTACAATATCTCGATTGGGCGCCTAGATCCGGACGAGGACGATCAGTTCCTGACGGACGAGGAGGACTCCTCGGGTGTGCATGTCGTTGCGCCGTCAATCCCAGGAAGCCATGATCCGGAATATGACGATTGGGCGGATGTGCCATACCCGGAGGATTTAGTAAAACCTTCCGATTCAGCATCTCGACCACGAACCTCCCAACGCAACCGCTCGATCCACGGTTCGCGCTCGGCTTCGGCCCGTCGACCACATTCGCGTCGACACATGGAGTATCCCTCTTCTCGAGCCCGCCAGCGGCAGGCTTCTCCAGAGTCTGCCGGCAGTGGTGATTCAGAAGACTACGCCGCCCACTATGAGCAACGACCTCGCGGTAGCCGCTGGCCACAAGCCCCCCAGGTCCCCCCTCCACCACCCAACAACAACTATGCGCCAAGCGCTGCCTCTGGCCAAACCTTCAATGGATATCCCCCCCGGTGCCCATCCTGGCGCTGGCTACCCTCATCCCAATGGCGCTATGCCGTCAGATTCGCTCATCCGACAAGTCAATCCCGGGGCTCAGCCATATGGCCACCCTTACGGTCACCAATACCCCCAGCCCACCCCTCATGGGCCTCCTCCCGGGATGCATTCATTCTACGCGCAAGACCCAGCGCATCGACAACACCCCTCCCGCCAGCCTCCCCCGGCCCACAACCCTAACCAACAACCATTAGTATACCCAATGGCCATGCACGGCACGCCGTCGCCATACGGTGGCTCGCCTTTCCAGCACGAAATGGTTCCCTATGGCGCCAATGGGTACTACAACTACCCCCGCGACCCGCGCGACCCATACGCAATGATGGCCGCGATGCAACAACCGTCTTATTTCCCACACTTCCCACAACATTCCCCGGTTCCACAACCTGAGCCAGTTCCGACTCCTGCACCTGTCGCGGCTACTCCCGCGCCAGCTCCGGAACCCGCACCAGCACCGCCACCAGTCGATACATCAAAGGACGAGGCAATCGCACGACTCGAGAAACTCATTCTGGACCGCGAAACCAAAGAGGCCGCAAAGGCAGCCGAAATTGAACGACAGGCCCAAGAAGCTGCCGCCGCCGCAGCGCAACTTGCCCACGATAGGAAAATCGCCGGAGAGGCCGCCGCTCTTGCCCGAGCAGATGCCGAGAAAAGAGCAGCTGAGGATGCTGCGAAAGCTAAAGAGGAGGCGGAAAAAGCTGCGGTGGTGGCTGCCGCGGATGCCGCCCTTGCTGCTACCGCTGCTGCTGCAAAGGCAGCAGCAGATGAAGCGGCGGCAAAGGCAGCCGAGGCTGAAAAGGCCGCCGCACCCAAGCCACCCGCCGAGAAGAAGAAACCTATCAAGTTCAAAGATGCTGTGGGAAGGAAATTCAGTTTTCCTTTTGAGCTTTGCGCGACATGGCAGGTAAGAACCCCCTCCGCCAAACCAACCTTTTCAGGGAAGAATATAAGCTAACACACTTGAATGATCAGGGAATGGAAGATCTAATCAAACAAGCCTTCCTTCACATCGAAGTAATCGGACCACACGTCGCAGAGGGCCATTACGACCTGGTAGGCCCAAACGGCGATATCATTCTCCCCCAAGTGTGGGAGACGGTAATCGAGCCCGACTGGAGCATCACCATGCACATGTGGCCTATACCCGAGAAGCCCAAGGATCCCGATCCACCTCCTGCCGGAGAAGCCCCCGCTGAACCTGCAAAGGATGCTGCGTCGCCTGGTGCGGAGGCGCCGAAGAAAGCTGGTAAGTTTTCCCTATGATTTATGCCTTGGTATATACCCATTATTCAAATCATGTCAGACGCTGACAATACAAACCACAGCTCCCAAGAAACCTCGTCCCCCTCCCGGCCAGCCTGGTGGCTTTGCGAGCTGGATGATGGGAGGTCGGAAACCTCCTAGGGGAAAAGCAGCTCCTAAAAAGCCTGATGCGGCTCCGGCTGCTGCCCGGCCCCGGCCCCGGCTCCAGCACCATAGTTTGGTCTACGATACACAGAATTATGGCTTAGCACATGAGAAAACCTTCCTTCCTAGGTCCACTGTTCAGCAGAGAACTTTCGTCTTTGTTGAGGAATTATCTCCCCTTTCTTCAGGGCAATCAGTCAACTCTAGGATCGGGGAACCAGTCACTCCTCTTTAGATGGCCGTGGCCGAGCATTGTTGCGAGTCATATCTTATCTTCCTTCTATATCCGCAAGCCTAGGGTGGGCTTGGATATCCGTTTGTCGGCCTCGACCTCGGCTCTTCGGGCCTGTGCGGACCGGAGCGCCATCAGCTTCCCAAGGGAAAGCAGAGCAGAAATATGGGATCAATGGATGAAAATGCTGGATACCGGACTGGACCGGACTGGACTGGATCAATAGGAACAGATGTCCTAGCTTGTGATTATAATCTCACTTTGACAGACCAACCCTCATCTAATCCCCGAAGCGCAGATATAGATACATGATTGGATTGCTCTGCAGGCCTTGGGGTGGAGAGGGGAATTGGTCAAGCCTCTGAGAATGTCTGGTCTGGGTCTGGATCTTGCTGAGCCAAGTCAAGCCAAGCTTGCCGCCTGTCCGTGTGATCTGGCCTGGTCTGGTCTGGTCTGGTCTCCACTACCATCTACCTCTGATCTGATCTGAAGATGCGATGCGATGCGACGAATCAATGAATTCTGAAATACATCACATTACACTACACTACTATGACGAAATGAAAATGAAGTACCGATTGAATATATCCCTTTGACAGTAATAGTACTAGTACTAGTATGTAGTAGAGTATCGTATATTGTAGGGCTGTGCTACTGGATGCTAAGCTAAGCCAGGAGAGTCGAATTCGTGTCGGAGTCCCATGACTCAAGATCGAGATATTCCAAGATGTAGATAGCTCTGAGAGAATCCATCCACCACATGACGTTGACGTTATGTTAATCCAACAGTATTGTTAATTATAGAAATCGAATCACTACTGAGGAAGAAGTGGCTTCCACTCAATAGATTCATTCGTGCTATCACCAAGGAGATCCATCGTGCTCGTCGTACTTGCGCCGTTCATGCGTGCTGGAGTCGATGGTGACGAACTCGACCCCCCTGCTTGCGGCACCTTATTCTGAGAGCTGAGCTTGACCGGCTTGCGCGGAACAGCAGGTGGTGGTTTTGGAGCTGTTGAGTTTCTCTCTCTCTCGATGGGGGATTGTGATGATGATGACAATGATACTTCACTACCGAAGGTTCCCTGTCGTGGGGGAAGACCTGGCGGGTTTCGGCCAACAGGGGATTGTGATGATGATGCTTCATTTCCAAATGTTCCGGTTGCCTGTCGCGGGGGAGGAGCTGGGGGTTTTCGATCAAGTTGACTGGATCGACGAATATCCGGCTGCTGTATCCAATCGGGCTCGGCATCTTTTATGAACGGATTTGAGGAACGTTGGCCATTTGGCACGAAGCCTTCTCCGGGGGGGTTTGATTGTTGCTTTCACGGGGACGCCTAGTAGCGATGTTAGCCAATGTTTAAGAACCCTAATTGTGTCTCCCAAGGAAGGAGGACCAATAAAATGTTCTCAAAGGGGCGACTTACCTTTATCTAGCCACCACTTACTCCGATCAGAACTAGCCGGCGGTAGACCTGGGGCAATAGGGCCCTGAGACATATTCTCCTCATCATCCAGATCCAAGAGATTGATCGAGTCGGAGAGTGCATCGCGCTGCTTTTGCCCGTAGAGTTCACGGCGTAGGGAATCCTTGAGTCCGTGATCGACAACATCAACCTGGCAATCGAAGCCTGCGAAGACGGGTCTGTGATCTGATATCCTCAAGTCTGCGACGTTGTATTGTGTTTGGCGCATGTTGGACCCGCGCCAGAGGACGCGGTCACACCACGCTGGGATGCGGGATTTTTCGCTAAGAAGGGTGAGCTAACGTTTACTTTAGGGACGGGGAAAGGGGGGGGCCTTACGATGTGTCGTAGATATCAGTTCCAATGTCATACTTGTACGTTGGCGCAAATCCAATAGGTCCTTCTGAGTAGAACTGGAAGGCCCTGCCAGCGATCATTTGTAGGTTCAACTATTTCGTTCATTTGTTAGTCAATTAATCCTCCAGGAGAAAGATTTGATGATAATATACCTGATCATTGTCATAGAGCTTCTGGTAGTCGCGCTGCGATATCAAATCTCTCACGATCTGATTACCCAAACCAATGCGGTAATTGAAATCTCCAAGCCAGACAACCGTGTCGTGATCGGCAATAGCCCGATTTTTCTGAAACCGCAGTCCTCGATCAATGGTCTCGTAGTCTCTATTTCTTTCGTCGTAGTTTGCAAACCCAGCTGCCAGATGAGCTGTCACGAAGCAGATGCTCGTGTTGGAGTATTCAAAGCGAATGGCACAGCCTCCTTTATTTCCAGCAATTCCAGACATGCCAGTCTGCAAAGCGGTTAGCTACACATTGCCAGGTAGGGTTGAGTAGAAAGGGAACAGCTATTTACCTTTTTGACGGTGCCCTCAACATTCTTGATATCCTTCAAAGCATCTGCTTTCACATAGATCATCAAAGCAGCGCCCACAAGCTGCCCACTCCTTAATAGCACATACTTGCTGGTCCCATTCATTTTAGAGCGTTGATTCAAGCAGTCTTGAACAGCCCTCTCCCAAACCTTTCGCGTACCCGGATCCGTAGACATGATCTGCTGTGGACTCAAATCCACAATTTCTTGAAAGCCCACAGCAAATATCGTAGGCTCTTCCTGGGAATCCATTGTATCAGGGAACAGCCATGGCGAAAGATCAGCACCCGGACCCGCATCTCGACCATTAACATTAAACGTGCCAATCCACATCCGAGTATATTTGGTCGATGAATATTCCGAAGCTCGTCGATTCAGTTCTTCGGTGACGAGATCGTTCATCGGGTCATAGAGGTGAACCGGGATCTGATTTGCCAGACGGCCTAGAAGAATATCGATAGTTCTTTGCCTAGATTTATCAGTGAAGTTGTTGACATACAACCGCGTTGCACTTTTTCGTGCATCCGCCAGAGCTCCGGCCAGAGACATCTTCCCATGACGGGTAAAGGATGACTTGAGAGCTCCAGTGCCAGCATAAATCTTCGAAAGTGCGTCGCCATTGTCGGCCCACAGGGTCGAATGTCGCATTGAAAGTTCCGAGCTAAGCCTGCAGCCCTGATGAGACAGGAATGATTCCAGTGCCATTGCACTGATTATGGTTTGGACGAGATTTGTTCGGTCCAGACAATCAAGGCAATTCGTTCGAAAGACGCCATCTTGCTGCAAGATCACAGAGGAAGCAGGCGCACCACCTTCTCCAGGACGGGTGGTATCCTCAGAGAGGAAATAAGCAAATCCGTCTAGAGAGTCTGCTAGCTCATATTTGATCGCGCTACTGGCTTCATAACCAGCAGGACCACGCGTCTCTGCGAGAAAATCATATTCCGTCACTCGGAGAAGGCTATGATGCTCGGGTTTGAGCGAGCCCTCCTGCGAGTCCTCCTCCTTTTGGCGAACCGAGCTGCGTGCAATATGTTGTCGAAATTTAGCCGACAATTCCGCTTCTCCTGATCGGGTCTCGCTGAGTAGATTGACCACGTGGACTGCTCCATAAGCCAGTTCGAGAGTTTCAAAGTGTTGATTGAAAGCATGTTGTGTCGCCTCGCTTGATCGTGTGATTTCAATCTTTTGTTGGCCTGGAATAAGGCCTGGAGTCTGTTCCCAGAAAATTGGAATTGAGCCTCGAATTTGTGCGTAGGAGAATGCGATTCCTGGAGGGACCCAAAGAGTCACTTCGGTCTCGACAAAATTGGCCACATTGCCATCATCATCAATTCCACGGGAGTTGAATCTCGTTCCAGCTCGTCGTGACGATTGTCGCGAAATTATGGTTAGGAAAGAGGGAAATTTGCTTCGTATTTGTGGAAGAATCGGGACCGTTGCAGGGATCTTCAAGGTACTGGCATATCCTCGAATCACACAAGTCAAGAGCTGCGACGCGTCAAGTTGGGCTTTCTCCGAAGGCGGCAAATGGCTGCGAAACAGAAGAAGTGGGTTTATCATGTATGAGTTCCACAGCATATCCTCATCAAGTGAGTCAATATCAAACGCGGCTGATTTGTCCGAGCTAAGACCTGGTTAGTATCTCTTGATTTAAATCTCTTGAAGTAAAGGATTGCTATGACAATACCGGTCTTGCAGACGATCAGTTAGATTGAAATCTAAACTGTAGTAAAAGCTGCCGTCGCCAAGAAGCTTTTTCAGAGCGAGGAATGGATGTTCTGTGACCATGTCCTTTCCCTCGCGGTCTTCGGCTGCGAATTGAGTGTTGGTTTCGTAGTCCAGACCATACTCGTATTCCGAGCGATTCAGGCAATCTGCAGTTGTAAGTCAGTAAGAATGGTGGAAATATACATTTTTATTTTTTTTGCACGCACAGAAGTCTACATTATCGATCCTCGAAACAGATTCTCCTGGCCTCACAGAAGCCGCTTGTGAAGAACCGGTGACCACACAGACGAAGACATCATCGCCAAGCGTGATCATACCAAGAGTTCCATGCCCGGCTCCCAAAGAGCGATAACCATCGAGATCCACGGACGAGATATTTGCGAATTCTACCTGACAGCGTGGAGGGGTCTTGGCCCCGGTCCCGGCGGCGCTATAGTGGAAGATCAAGGCATGATCGGTAGTTACCAGCGCAATTGTGCGTTGAGGCTGATCTCGACAGAGAACCCGAAGATTGAACATGGCGCGGAAAATGAGATCGGAAGTCTGCCCCGCGCACCCTCAATTTACCACACGCGATGCCAGAGGCTAAGCCCCAGTTGCCCAACAATGTAGCCCAATGGCTCGTAATTCCATGCGTAGCACCGAAGCCACCACAGCACACCCAAAGCCCGAGAATACTGTATAATGGACTAAATGCCCAACGAGTCAAGATGCGAATAAGAATTGTGAGTTGTGGCAACGGAGTATTGACTGGGAGATACTCGCAGTCCGATGCCGATACCTCCAAGTGGCCCAGCTGCGGCTGAGGCCCGCGCCACGGGATTACCTAATCTTGTGGAGCCCCCATGTTATCTTATCGGTGGATGACTCAGCTATCTCCCGCATCGCCGAAAAAATGTTAGACTTTGGCGGGTGAAAAGTTCCCCTTCAGAACGCCTCTCAGTCTCTATACCTACACACCACCATGGGATTAGCCGCCGCAAAGAGGTATGCGCACTTCTTCCTCAACCTTAACCCCTCCTGAGATAAGCTGACTTATTTGATCCTCTTCCAGGAGAACCAAGATCTCCAATGATCCCAATAATACACAATGGGCGCGGTCCACCTCAGGCTTCGGCCACAAAATTATGAGTTCTCAGGGCTGGGCCCCCGGCGGTCGCCTAGGTGCTAAGGACGCTGCTCATGCCGATCTTTTGACCGCTGGCAGTACCTCTCACATTAAAGTGACCATCAAGGACGACACATTGGGCCTGGGCGCTCGATTGGGTCGGGAGGGCGAACCGACCGGCCTTGATGCTTTCAAGGGACTCCTCGGTCGACTTAACGGCAAATCAGAGGAGGAACAACAAACGGATCAGCGCAAACGAGACGACGTCAAACTGGCCCGATATGTCGCCCTGAAATTCCCGGAAGTTCGATTCGTTCGCGGTGGTCTGTTGGCGCAAGAAAAAGAGGCCGTTTTACCGGATTCCGAGAGGGCAGAGTTGAAGGAGGAGAAGTCGAAGAAGGAGAAATCGAAAGAGAGCAATGGGGATTCCAGTGACGACAATGAATCTTCCAGCGAATCCAAGTCCAAATCCAAGTCGAAGTCAAAGTCGAAGAAGGATAAATCGAAATCCAAGAAGGACAAGTCCTCCAAGAAAGACCGATCCCGATCAACCGACGTCGACAGCTCAACCTCTGTCTCTGATGAATCCAAGAAGAAGGACAAGAAGAAGTCAAAGAAGCGAAAGGCTGATTCCGACGAGAGCGAGGGTGAATCTATCAAAGCGTCCAAGAAAGAGCCCGAGGCTAGCGACAAACCCGCCCCCGCCCCGACCGCTTCCCGAGAGCGACTCCCTATGGCGAGACAAATCTTCCGGGGCCGACATATTGCACAGAAGAAGAGGGCACTTATGGATGATAAGTCATTGAACGAAGTGAGTTTACACTACACCTTCCCAGAGGTTATGGTCATCAACGTTATGGGCGAACGAAACTAATGGTGAATACTAGATTTTCATGGTGAAAGCGTAGAGCCAGATTTGCATTTTATAGAAACAACCCACTAGCGGGATGGCGTTTGGGGCATTTTCGACCAGTACATAGGTCAATTGAATTATTTTATCTCTTTCAATTCTCCTATACACCAACTAAACTAATGCCGTAGTAACTAGTTCTGGAGTATGTTTGTACACCATACAAAAAATGGAGACCACAAATCTCAGGCCGCCAAGCTTGCCTTACTAATCCGCTTTACCGCATCGACGTCATCTTGGTTCCGGCGAGCGGGACCTGAACTTCCCATCATCAAGCTCACCTCTGGAAGATGAATGGGGACGCACCTTCAGGTCGGGGACCAGTCTCAAAGACTCGCCCCCCGTCCACCCGCACCACAAAAAGGGACAAGAAACGGTATGCTTCAAGTTCCATCACATTGTCCCGACCCTCTTCAGCTCACTAACAACTACCAGCATCCACTGGGCACCACTAAACATCGGCCTAGAACGACGTCTCCAAACCCTGATCGTCCTCTGCCACACCCTAACAATCGTCCTCTTCCTCTGCAGCTTCTTCTTCACTTGCGCAATCCCCCCTATTCTGGCCCCTCCTCCTCCCCTACCTAGTCTACATCTCCCTATTCTCAACAGCACCAACATCCGGCGACCTCAAATGCCGAAGTAACTTCCTCCGCTCACTACCAATCTGGTCCATCTACGCCTCATACTTCCCTGCAACCCTACACAGAGAAGAAGAACTCCCCCCGACAAAGAAGTACATCTTCGGCTACCACCCACACGGCATAATATCCCACGGCGCATTCGCAGCCTTCGGCACCGAAGCCCTCGGCTTCAAAAAATTATTCCCAGGAATCACAAACACCCTCCTAACCCTCGATTCCAACTTCCGCATCCCCTTCTACAGAGACTACGCCCTAGCCATGGGCATAGCCAGCGTATCGCGAGAATCCTGCGAAAACCTACTCTCCAAAGGCGGCGCCAATGGCGAAGGAATGGGTCGCGCAATAACAATCGTTATCGGCGGTGCGCGGGAATCTCTAAACGCCCAACCGCACTCGTTAAGACTCGTATTGAAACGACGCAAGGGATTCGTGAAATTGGCGATTCGCACAGGCGCGGATCTTGTTCCTGTTCTTGCTTTTGGCGAAAATGATCTCTATCAGCAGGTTGATTCGGATGAACATCCTATCATTCAAAAGGTGCAGATGCTGGTTAAGTCTACGATGGGATTTACTATTCCGCTGTTTCATGCAAGAGGGGTGTTTAATTATGATGTGGGACTTATGCCTTATCGTCGGCCTTTGAATATTGTTGTTGGTCGGCCGATTCCGGTTATGCAGCAGTCTAATCGGGATATGATTGATGACTCGTATATTGATGAGTTGCATGCGAAGTATGTGGAGGAGCTTCAGAGGTTGTGGGATACGTGGAAGGATGTTTATGCTAAGGATCGGAATGGGGAACTGGAGATTATTTCGTGATAGCAGAGCATCATGATGTCGATCGACTTCACGAGCAAAGCAAATCCCCGGACCTCCTGCTGGTTGATTTCTTTGCACGCTGCATCAAGCATGCTGGATGATTGTGATCATTTTTATATTTTACTTCTACATCATAAATTACATATTTCAAGGTCAAGGTTTACTCTCAAAGAACTCAGGAATAAATAAATATTCTAGCATATATTTGCCACTGAAAGTAGAATAAAAATAACACAATAAATATCAATAGTACATTGCCACGCTGGGCTGAAGATTCCAGGTTCCAGATTCCAAAATATGTAACAGAAATCACAAATAAATAAAACAGTACATGAAAGGCAAATGCAAATAGCAAATAAAAAAGGGGTATCAGATCAACACTAAACTTAACAAAAAAAGAGGTCTACCTCCAGGGCTTCCTGTCCTGTCCTGTCATAGCATAGCCTCATCATTTCGGCGGACTTTCTGGGAGCGGTTCTGTAGGAACGGGCGTGGGTGGACTTGGCCTTAGTCCTCGTACCTCAGCAGAAGTCGACACACGACGATTCAAATCAACAGAGACATTCTTCACCGCGCCCAGAGAATCCCGCTCTAGATGGCCACTTTCCACGCGGCCCTGTATCATTTCATCAAGCATTTTCGACACCTCATCCATATTCTTCTTACGGTCCCGCTCGCCTTCCCCATCGCCATTCTTCAAGTGTGCAGGTGGTGGCGGCGGTGGCATGGGAGTCGCACCCTTATCGATCGGGGCCGGGGCTGGGCCATTGCCATGGCTCGTAGTTGGAGGACTATTCGGCGCAGTTGAAATTTCCCCTTTAGATGCGAGTGCGAGGTCTGGAGACTGCGTATCACTGGTAATAGCAGCTAGGTCACGATGTCTAGCCGCAGACCTCAAGGCGGCGAGCATTCGATCCTTGTCGTCGAGTTGGATGCGAAGCTCGTTGATTTCCATATCCTTGTCGCGCAGCAAAGCGCTCGAGTCTGGATGTTCGGCGATCGTGGAAGTAGTTGACTTAACTCCCACCGACATGCGGGAGTGGCTGGAGCGTCGAGCTTGAAGGAGTCGTCTCTCTAGAGTAGAGATGTACCGATTCTTATCACCGAGGTCTGCCTGTAAGGCCGTGACTTGTCGTTGTAAGCTTGCCTTGCCATCGCCGAATTCACCCATGTCATCATCTTCCTCATGGCCAAATGATCCGCCTGGATATCCAGGCATTGGATCATTGCTAGTGACCGACATGAAGGAAATGGGTCGCATGGAGGAGTGGCCATAGCCAGCGCCTAATGTAGATTGACTGGCAGACGACCTCAATGAGCGCGTTCCATTATCAATGCTGGACATTCTTGACAATCGTCCGAGTGCCGACATGCTGCCGTGGTTATTCACTCCTGTCGACTTGGAGCTCAGAATGAGACGGTTGAGATGCTCGATTCGTTCCTTGAGCGCCGTTCGAGCGAGTTGCATTTCCAAAACCTGCTCTTCGTGTCGGACATGTGCCTCTTTCTCAAATTGCTGCTCATCCCATTTGAGTTCCTTCTCCGCCTGGGCCTTGGCCTGTGTATCGAGTTGACCGCGAAGAGTTGAGATCTCCATCCGATAGCGTTCAAGCAATACTCGACTCCCTGAATCTCCGCCACCAGCACCGTATGCCTCCTCGGCCTTTTTGGCATGACTGACAATGTTGTTCTTTGCACGCGCGGCAAATTTGAGCGTATTCAGTGTTTCGCCGGTGTTTGCGTTGACTCCGGATACTAACTGGACGGTACAGAGAATACTGACCAGCGAGTTTCCTGACAGTGCCGGTTGGAGTAGACGCGTGAGTTTACTGTCTCGATCAGGCAAATGTCTGCCGTCCCCTGTGTTCGCCTGCTTCTCCTTGCTATCCGATAAACCGGAGATAATGTTACCCAGCGTAAGCAGAGACTTGTTGATATGAGCACCCTCCGTCCGGCGCTCCTTATCATCAGCCGCTCTCTCCGAACCCGCAAGATCGATCAGACTCAGCGTCGAAACCCGCACACCACCAGGAGCGATTCCAGCCCGCTTATCCTGCGCATTATTGGTCGGCACACGCTCCCGACTCTCAACCACAATCTGCACCACCGCATGACTTCGCGAACTGCGCGAATTGAACTGCGTACTGCTCGTCCGGCGGGAATGGTCTCCCCTCGCAATCACACGGAGAAGTTGGGTGGGACTTTGCACAATCTCTTCCTTCAAGGGCGTGGCGTAAACACCGCGCTTGCTGTCTTCGCGTAGTTTGATCTCTTCTTGCTGTGGTGCTCCGGGCCCGTTGCCGGGAGCAGGGGCGGATAGTAGATCGTGGATCTTCTCATTATAAATTTCCAGATAGCTGACCCGAAGCAGGAACTCTCGGTGCGGCGTTTCTCGGATGAAGGAAAATATATCGGTGATCGCCAAGGGAATCACACCGGGCGAGGTGGCGGTTCCTTGCATGGAAAAGGTTTTACCTGTTCCTGTCATACCATAAGCAAAGACTGTACCGTGATACCCTTCCATGACCCGTCGCACGAGGCGTTTGGCGGCGGAATCATAGACCTTGGCGTTGTTTTCGTATGTGGTGAATACATTATCTAGCACAAGATGTTAGTTGAGGTGCATCATTGAAATCGTTGCATGAGCTGGAGCAGAGCACCGGCCGGGACTCAACTCACCATAATAATAATCTCCTCCCTCTTTACCACGGTACGAGACGAGACTTTGACGCCCCTCAACCGACCACTCGCCATGAGTCCTCGCAGTTTCACCATTCGGAGCATCAGGCCGAACACGCACACTGACAATGACATTGCCTTTAGTTTCCTTAGGCTTTGAGCCACCTTCTCCTCCCTTGGCGGTACTCGCATCATCCACGTCCTCAAACGTAGTAGCACTCGTCGAACAGGATCCCTGAGCCGAGGAACTTCGGCTATGACCCGGTGAAGCCTCTGGATCACGCGCATCAGCCGGAATCGACTTTCCATCCGCGCTTCCATTTAATAACGAGGGCGTTTTCGAGCTGCGATAACTGCTGGTTGTTCCGGTGCTGAGGCGCGAACCTCGTTTAGGTTTCGAAGAACCCGTACCCGAGCCCGTCCCCGTCCCTGTACCCGTGGAACCGGAGGCGGGAACCCCAGTCACACTCGACGCGGTTGAGGGTCGGCTAGTACTACCTCCTGCCTTTGGCGGTTGGGGAAATGAGGCAATGCTGATGGTTCGGCGGAGGGACTTGTCGGGAGAACTTGGTGTACGGCCGCTGGATGCTGAACGGACTGTGCTCAGATTTGATGTGGAGTTGGAACTGGAGAGCGGCGATCGGAGGGATGGTTTGGGGCTGGATGGAGTTCGCAAGCCGGATGCCCGATAAGGAGACGCGGACCTCGGGGTACTCGGATCGGTAGCAGCGGCGGGGGAGACTCCTCCTGGGTTTGGGGGTTGGGAGCGGTGGCAATGAACCGGTTGGAGGGTTGGTGACTGGCCGTGATGGCGTGGGAAGTGTTGATGTTGAGGCCATGGTCCAGGTTTTAAAGCGATGAACCGGGAGGCGCAATGATTCTCAGAACCTCGCCAGATATCAATTCAGGTTATGGATGGTTGGTGAAGGTGTAACGGCCATGCGGGCAAGAATTCAACGGCAAAGTTGGCGGGCGGTTTGGAGATCGCGAAATCGGCGGGGGAAGTTGGTTGGCTCTGTTGACTTTGAATCAGGTTAGTTAAAGTGATTAGGTGGCGATAGCAGGTCGTAAAAAGCGCCCTTGTCGTGTCGGAGGGCAATTCTTCTTCCTGGGAGCATAGGATAGAGGATGGAGAATAGAGAATAGATTACAGAGTCTCGGATACATACCGCTTCACAGACCATGCGTTGCAATCGCGACGGGCGCGCAAGACTTTGAATGGAGAAGGAAACGCCACTGCCGCAGGCGTGGCCGTTGTGGAATTCGAGTAGAGTAGATGAAGAGAAAAGAATATAAAGGGTCAATTCAGAGAAGAACTGAGCTTGGAGGGCTTGAAGGACTTGGAAGAGGAACGAGAGAGAAAGAAGAGAAAGGCGGAAGTGAGAACTTTCCCCCGCAACCGGGAAAGAAACAGCAACAGCAACAGGAACCCATTGTTTTTATCTTTACTACGACTACAGCAGTGACTGGCACTTGTCGAATTATCTCCTGTATTGGCTAGTACTTGCGTTACACCTTTATCCCATCTTATCCCATCTCATCCCATCTCATCCCATGCAGGTCTAGGTCCCTTCTCCCCATCCCCCCCAAGACCCCAAGACCGTGCTTGCACGTACTGAAGAAAAGGGGCTGTTTTAGAAGGGCATGGCGTGGTGCTAAAATCGCAATCACAGTCTAAGTCTCGAAGGAGTCAAGGCCCATCATCCTGTTGGTCTCGAGTCACCGAAGCTGGAGCTACCTGTACCCAATGACGAATTAGCAGGATGGGGGTAATCCAAGGGCCACTGAAAAAGGGGGCGAATGACCATCGCTCACTCGTCAGGTACAAACTGGGTACTCCATACACCCCCCCCTGTGGAACCCTTTGTCGATTATTTGGATCTTTACATTACTCTCTACGGAGTACGGAGGACGGGCCCAGGAACCCCTCGGGTCCAATGTGCGAACCTTGAACCTTGACCCGTTGATCCTCCTTCAAAGTGGCCCCCCCCACTGTGATAAAGGCAGTGCTAGGCCATCCCTATTTCTCCGTCTCTGTCTCCTCAAATTTCATACGAGTACAGTAGCAGAGATGGGAGACATCCCATTGAGGGACTTGGAGACATGACACACCCGGTCGCAAAGGAGTGGACAATAGATGCCATCAAATGCAAGGGGATATACGGGAGTACCAAGCATACAAGCATACGAGTAGACCCCCATCCTCCCATCCTCCCCCCACAGAGACGCGGACACCGCGGGTATTGACACTAACACTGGTGATGGCTTGCGGTGGACTGGGCCTCTAGTGAACAGTGCTACATGACAGATAGCGGAGCGTGCGGGTGACAGGGTGACAGGTTGACTTGACTTGACTTGACATCTCTCTGGTTGCCACTGTATCCCGTTGATTTCCTGAGCTGTCATTCGAGACAAGGTTGGGCAGCGAATAGTCGCTGCATCTCTGCATGCGTCTTGCAGCAATTGTCACGGCATGCAGATGGAAATGATACGATCAACATGCAAGAACACGACTAAATGGGAAAATGAGGGGCCCCGAAAAAGCAAATCGGGAAGGCAACAAAGAGACAAAAGACAAATTACGGAGATTTCCCGACATATATTTGGTACGAAGTACATACTGTACATGTACATGTACTAGTTGGATGATTGGTATTGGTTGTGGTCATTCATGGTTGTAGTCATTATTTTCATCGCCCGCCGAAATCCAATTGTCGGGCCGCATTCTTAAATGGGCTATCATTAACCTCGCCACCGCGTCGACTCATATCCTCTGCCATCTTCTTCTCGGCGTGGCGTTTTTGCGGAAGGTCTTCATTCTTGGTTGGTTGAGGATCGATGGTCCACCATTTATGTCGCAAAGCCTGGACCGCCGTAATCCGCTTCCTCGGATCCAACGTGCACATCGACATCAATAGATCAGCACCCACCGGACCAGCGGTAGGAAACTGCCGTGAGAAAAAGTCCCGTCCAGATGTAGGGATAATCTGACTACTATCCGTCTCAATATAGTACGGCAGCTTCGTAACCCCGGCCCAATTGTCTTCAGTGGGTGTGCCAAAGGCCTCACAGATCTTGGAAATTTGATCCAGATCCGTATTCCCCGCCACAAAGGGGACTCGCAGAAGCAATTCCGCAAATACCATCCCCATCGACCACACATCGACTGCGCCGGAGTACTGCCTCGCCCCATAGAGTAACTCGGGGGGTCTATACCAGCGAGTAATCACCTGGTGGGTCATGTTTAGATAAGGATCAGCAAATGACCGGGCCAGACCAAAATCGGCCAATTTGACCTCGCCGTCCGCTGCAATTAACAAATTGTTCGGCTTGATATCTCGATGCAGCACGAAATTCTCGTGGCAAAACCATACCCCGCGCGCCAGCATGCCCATCCAGGCCTTGATATCCGCCGCGCCATATTGGACATTTTGATCGCGAATGAGCATTTCCAGATCGCCCCCGGGCAGGAACTCTAGCACCAAGTGCAGATTTTCATGCTTGGAAAACACGTCGTGGAGGGCGATGACATTTGGGTGAGATAGTTCTTGGAGGTATTTCACTTCGCGAATTGCGTCCATGGCGAGTCCATCTTTGTAGTCGGCATTGACTTTGATCTTTTTGATTGCGACGGTTGTTGCGGTGTCTCGGCGAAATCCCTGGTAGACCACGGCGTATGTACCTTCACCTAGTTTCTTGCCTATGAGGGGGGAGGAATTAGTTTAGTGCTCTCGATGTCTGGCGGGGGTGGGGGTGTCGAACCTCTTTCATAATTATGCGCAACAGAGTCATTCAACTGCTCCGTGAGTTCACCGTTGGGCTGGGACGAAGTCTTGACATCTGCTGCAGATCCAGATCCAGATTGAGCGGCAGATGCTTTCAACCTAATAGCTGTACTGGGGGAAGCCACTGTCATCGACGGCGAGCGGGAGGCGAAAGGTGAAGCTGCCATGACTGCTGCAGATTGGAAATGGGCAGCTTCGGGGGCAAGGGGCCCTTAGGCGAAGAAGCACCACTGATCACACAATTGAAATAACCACCAAATGACACTGTTGATCAGACACGAGAATCAGAATCCATCTCAAAAGAAATGTGTGGTCCTCAAGGGTGGTCCGGCATGTAATGCTTGAGCTCGGAGTAGAAGTGTCCACCGCCTTTCACCGCAGTGCTGGGCGAAGGCGGTGGGCAAACGTAGGCACTCCTCGAATTGTTCCCCCGAAATTTCGGACCGCGACTGCGATTCAACAGAGACCCCCGGATTCTCACCTTCTGTCCCCTCAATTCCTCTCCGCGCCACCTTCCTCGGTGCTCTAGGTGGATTTGGTCAATTCTCGACCAAAAAAAAAACGCAACTACATACCCAATTGTGGGAGGGCACGAGCTTCCACAACACAACCGCCATGGCGATGCGCAACCCCGTTCTCCGAGGCCTATCCTCCTCTCGAATCCTTCAAACAGCCAGCATCTCCCGACAAACCATTCGCCCTCTCTCTCAAAAGGTGGTCCCATCCGTGCCATCGCCAACCCCCTTCGTCCCCGATGTCCCGACATTCCTCACTCTGATCGGCCGCGAAATGTCCAAACACTCAAGCAAGATCACTTCATGGGAACAACTCTTCGCCTCCAGCTCCGACCAACTCCGCAGCCTTGGAATTGAAAATTCCCGACAGCGCAGATATCTCATTCGCAAGCGCGAGAAGTTCCGCAACGGTCTACATGGTCCCGGTGGAGATCTGGAACACGTCGTGGACGGCGTTGCTCAATTGCGGGTAGTTGAAATTCCCGCTTCAGCACCAGCGCCGGCGGCAAATGCCTCCTCCAAGGACGGCAAGGGCAAGACCGAGTCTTCCGCACCAATCGTCCCCAAGACAAAGAAAGTCGTCGTGAACCTCACCCCCGACGCAACCGAATACACGCACCAAGTCTCCAAAGCCCTGAAGAAATTCGCACACATGAAGGTCCAGCGCGGCAATAAGATCATGGGACCCTTCTTGCAGCCGATGAAGGGGACGCACGGTACTGCTGCCACTATCACTGTTCAGGAGGGTATGTGGGAGGATAAGCGTGGACATAAGGTTGATGGTGGTGAGCGACGACAGAAGGAGGTTCGGGCGAAGCTTAGACTTGAGGAACGGAGAAAGGCATAGAGCCTGCGTGAGTGTTACCCAATGAGTTGGCGTTTGCGCTTCGCTTCGTTTCTTGCATATCTGTTAAGCTTAAGCATCCGCGATGGAACTTGTTTCTTCTACAATGTACTATACTACTATATCACCATCCATCGTCATCCTTTCTGATCATATTGAATCGTATACAATACTCAAGGCTAAGGATGACTGTATTGACATAACCTGTCTATGCCACTTTCTATGGCAAAAAGAAGAAGAAGAAGCGCATGGCGCGAGAAACACAACGATAAGTAATCAAAGTAATACGTAATGCAGTGGATCCTGAACAAATAAGACATGTTCGGCCACAAGAGCCATATTGACGACCATTGGAATTGTGTGTGGCTAAATGTCTCGCGAGATTAATCACTAACATTATCATATCAGCTTGATAGGACTTTAACTTTAAATCAACAAGTCATCCAAGGAAGTCAACTATCCCCATGGACCGCTCTCAGAGCAGAAATTAGCCGCTGGGCTCCCTCATAATCACCACACTGGTAATCACATAGGGTCACGAATTTAGTTTCAGTATTCACTTGTGAGAAGAGGGGAGCAAACGATGAGTGCTATAACGACTTTGCCGAACGAGCTCAAGCTCAGTATGATCTTTTGGGCCATATTGTTGACTTGATACAAACTTTGTCCACGAGCATCGAGAACCACTATGTGGTTTTTGAGAATGAAGATCCCTGGATGGTTGCGGATCAGCTGGAAAGGTCCAAGCTACTGAGAGCGTAGTCCTAGTACGCTTCATGCACACAGGGTGCTGCTGATTTAACCTGCAACCCACCATGTTGTAGATAGCTGCAGGTATTGCGTTTCTAGGGTAGGCTGCAGCAGGTTAATAGAAATTTGATTTGAACTGAATTGAACAGCCATCATCACCATTTCTTTAGAGTATTTTGATATTAATAGAAAGCGGCAGAGTATATCAATATAATGGTATTTTTAAACAATCATTAGAATTATTAGTCGTGGTGCAATGTAAGAAGGGCTGTAGCGGTATTTTTTTAAGGCGAGGCAAGACCAAGTTACTAGTACTGTCTATGTACTATGTACGAACCCAAGACGAAACTAAAAAGATCGCGTGTTATTCCAAAGACAAAAGTAAGAAAGCTAGAGAAGAGAAAGCTACAGCTATAATGGCTACAATATAGGTATAGTGTTTGAAGCTGAAATAAGTTAAAATAATAAATAGAAATGGATAGTATGATACAACGGGTCAATCCAGTCATTCATGACATCGACACAAGGGCTGCGAAGAGAATTGCAAAGTCAAGGTCCTGGTGACATCTATGAAGGTGAAAGTCAAGGTCATTAAAATAGAGTTATAGGCAATGCCGGGTGTCTTTTGTCCTTTATGTTTTTCTTCGTCTTTCTTTCTGTGCAACCATAATTCCAGTCCAGCTTTGTTTATGCCTTTGTTCCGCGCTTCTCATATTGCACGAAGGACTTGCCAAGAGGCTTGGAGAATAGGGACTATTGATTGAATTAGTATGGATATAAAAGATACTGTATGAAGTATGAAAAGTGACGTGATAACTTACCGAATAATCAGTCTCCGGAATACCGTTGTTGCCAGGAGTACTGGTGAACTTGAACTGCTTCACCAGGGCCACGAGAATCGTGCCCAGCTGCACATAGGCGAACTGCTCACCAATGCAGCGATGGCGTCCAGCACCAAATGGAAGGTAAGGGCTGTTAGTACCCTTAGTGACAAGACCATACCCATAATCAATCTTCTCCTCGTCCTCCTCGTCCTTTTCAACAGGGGCCTCGTCCCAACGGTGAGGCTTCCAGTTCAGAGGCTCGGGGAAGAACTCCTCTGATCGTGCAGAGACACCAGGAGAAGAGAGGACATTGTGAGTGGTCGGGATCACGTAGGGAGTTCCCTCAATAGGCATGGGGTTCTTAACGGCGCGCATGATAGAGTGAATCGGGGCGTGGATGCGGAGAGTCTCCTTAATAACCTTGGAGTGGAGATCCAGCTTCTGCAGGTTCTCCCAGGTCAAAGGCTCGTCGCCAAGGACACTGACTTGCTCCTGGTACAACTCCTCGGTGATCTCGGGGCAGGTTGCAAGACGCAGGACAATCCAGGCGGCGGTCGAAGAAGAAGAGTGCTGTCCAGCCATCAGGAGGGCAATCATCATGTGAGCAATCTCCTTGTCAGGGATCGGGGTGCCGTTCTTGTAGGTGCAGGACATCAGGTTCCAAACCATATCCTCAGAGTCCTTCTTGCCACCCTCTTCGCGACGCTTGCGGATAATGTCAATGTAGGTCTCGGTCAGCTTGCGCTGCGCAGCGTCACGGCGGCGGTTGTGAGGAAGCGGGGCCCAGGGCAGCATGAAGTTAATGGGGGCGAATCCCATATCCAGGTCGTGGTACATTTCGGCGAAAGTGGAGTTGAAGCGGTCGCGAACCTCCTTTCCTTGGAGGGAGCGCGACGCAGTGTAGATGGTGATTTCCGAGATAATCTTCGAGACATCGAATGTTCCCTTATCGTCCTGGAATGCGGGAGAGCTCTTGACGAAATCGTTGACCTCGTTGGTGATCAGGGTAACGTAGGAGCGAAGCGCGTCGGAAGTGAGACCGAATTTCACGAACTATTTGCAGGGATTCCGATCAGCCAAAAAAATCGTGTACCGTTATAAATCTCCAGGATCTTACCTTCTTCTGTTCCATCAGCTTCGCGTTGGGACAATCGTAGACAACATCATGGCCAAAAACGGGGGTGGTGAGTGGCGAGTAGACCTCCTCGGCGCAAACATCGCGCAGTTTTCCGTTCAGAATGAAGTCGTTGCCCTTGGTACCCAAGTAGACAGTGGTCTTCTTGCCAAGGAGGACAAAAGTAAAGATATCGCCATACTGTGGAGTGGAACGAGCCGGGGTTAGAAACAAATTCCTGGCAGAGGAGAGGATTGCGGAGGACACACCTTTGCGCGACATGACTGGAAGAAACTGTAAGGTTCCATGCCATAGCTGATGGTGCTTCCAACGAGGGGGAACCAATGGAAAACAACAGGGGGCTCATGAGGGTTCTTGAACAGCAATTGACGCAGGACATTAACCACGACGGAGAGGGCAATGAAAGACAATGCGCCAACCGCCACGAGTGTGTAGATGGACTGGTCGGAGCAATGCTCGCAGAACGAGTCGAGAATAGTTGCGAAGAGACCCATGGCGACGAGTAAGATGCTCAATGGGGTAGGAGGGACGGGGGGAACTCTTCAAGGAGGAAGAGGTGGAAAGGGGGGGAAGATCGCAAGAATAATAATCTTCACTGTCATTCGGTGAAAGGCTGGACCCGCCCCCTGGTTCCTCCGCCTATTTCAAGTTTTTATTTTCATTATTTTCATTATTTTCATTTTTGACTCCTATTTTTTGGCTTGGCCTTGGACATTTTAATCTCGATTAAAATGAACTTGGCTTTTATTGGCCTTTGAAATCTATAACGTATGATTTTTAGCAGTCCTTCGGCCAGATCAAAGCCCGTAGTCCCGGAGGTGCTTTCAATTGGGGTATAGCGATGGTGTCTCACGCCACTTCGGCCACTTCGGGGAGTTGCCTTGCCGCATTGCTTTTCGAAAAACAGTACAGTTGGCTAAGTACTCTGCTATTGATTTACTTCCTGTTGTAGGGGAATATAAGATACTGCTTCCTAAAAAAGGAAAACTGGTTCGGACATTATTTATTTTTTCAGAAAAAAGAAATTTGGGGGGTCTCCCCATTGTGTATTGAACCCGAAGCGTTTCGAGCATTTTTCCCCCCAAACTAGAAACTTCTTGTGTATGTATGGTGTCATTTATTTTGTAATTTATACATACACACAAAAAAGGAAATACCCTCGATGGTAAAAAGGGTGATGGTAATGGCAAATAGCCAAAAAAAAAAGATCGTTTGGGTGTGAGTGATTGTTGTTCATCTTTGCCCTTCCGACGCAAGTACTCACTACAAGCCTTAGGAAGGAAATCAGATGCTGGCGATCGTATGATACTGACCATCTTAGAATGAAAAACAACGTATGATTTCGACGCCATCTAACTATACATTAAGTCCCTTTTTCTCACACAGCCCTGTGCAAGCCCAACGCATGTTATCCCCCCTGAAGAATAAAATGAAACAATAAAGTACTAGAAAAAACAGATTTGGAACACAGCGAGGCCCAGATCCACCGGAGCAATCTTCGATCCCAGATCTACTCAGTACATATCGTACTGACACTGACACTGACTGGCGAGAACTCGCGTTACTCTTCGTACAATGCAGGATCTCCTCGAGCACCGAGGTTAGCGAAGTCCCGAGGACCGCTATTGTCGCCGGGAGAAGGTTCACGACGAGAGACCTTAGCTGGACGGTTGTGAACACGCTTTCCGGCCTCATTCTTGCGAAATACCTTGATCGGGGTCGCACCATCCTCGACATGCTCACTGAAATCGGCCGCATTCACGCTACTTAACAAAGTGCGTTCGCGCTCGACCTTGCGCTTGGAGAAGTCAAGTTTGCCGAGTGCACCCGTCAGCCCATCGGTACTATCGTTGACGCTGGGGTACTTCTCGGTGAGCCATGGGTGTTCGAGACACTCGTCCACACTGATGCGTTTCTCGACGTCGACTGTAAGCATTCGGTCGATTAGGTCCAATGCAGGGTCTCCCACGGAGTCCCAGTATGGAGATGGGTAGTCGAATCGTCCCATCTTGATCTGTTGGGCAAGCGTCCACGGATTCTGTGGGGTATACAGTTCATCCGAGAAGGGCGGGAATCCGCAAAGACAAATATAGAGAACCACCCCCCAATGACCAGACGTCCACGGCTTTGGTGTAGCGTCGCTGTCTTGTCTCCTGCAGGATCTCAGGTGCCACATCTATACAATTAGTTACTGTTCAAAAGGCTCACACTTGAGGGGCTGTAGTGAATAACTTACAACTTGGTGTACCACACCTGCGTATTCTGTGTTAGCATATGCGTAAAGTAAAATGAGATAAAAAGGGATGAGTGGAAAGCTTTGCACTTACAAGGTGGTTGTGAATGAATCCTCGCCGATGATCTTCGCAAGCCCAAAATCACCCAACTTGACAGTCATTTTCTTGTCTGCAAGAAGGATGTTCTCCGGCTTGATATCGCGATGAACGATTCCTCGATCATGCTAAAGGGATATGTTAGCATCAATATCGTCGGTTCCACTTAATACAACATATAGATACCAAGTATTTCAAGCCCTCAAGGAGTTGACGGAGGAGATGGCGGCTCTCAGCCTCGCTCAGTTTTTGTTTGTTCACAATCAAGTTGAACAGCTCTCCTTCGGGAGCAAGTTCCAGAACGAGATGAGCAGCATCAGTTTCATCAAATGTATCCTTCAGACAGAGCAGATTCGGGTGATTGACACCCATCAGAAGAGCAATCTCTTGCTGCAATGCCTCGCCTTGATTCTTTTGGGAGTCTCCAGGACGTTTCTCAAACTTTTTGACGGCAAACTGCTTTCCAGTAGCCCGTTCAACACAGAGGTAAACAGTCGCAAAATGTCCTTTTCCGAGTTGTTGTAGGATCCGGTACTGCTGGCGGAAACCGTGCGTGTCTCGTGTGCGAGGATAGCGAAAGACGAAGCGGGCTTCATTCAGAATGGACACTTCGTCACCATCTTCAAGCTCGCGATGCTTGTTTCGTCCCACTATAGCGTCGTTGACAAAGGTACCATTGCTCGAAAGATCTTCTAGCATAGCAACAACATCTCCCTTACGCTTCTCCGAAAAGAGGAGGAAGTGTCGGTTTGAAATGGTTGGGATATTGATCACCAGATCTGTTGACTCATCAGCATTCACATTCAGGTAAAACACGTTACTCAGAATAATTGCATACCGCACTCAGGGTGACGGCCGACCAGGTAACCACCGGGAGCCTGACCCTTCTTAGGGGCCCGCTCCCGCCCATTACAGCTATCACGCTTCTTCAGAACGAACGGATCGCTCACATTGTCATCCAGCGGGAGGAGATATCCCCAAACTCCCTCGGCACTCTCATCGTCGACCTCGTCCGCAAAAGCCCTTGGGGGGTATACGAATTGCGAGAGGGCCTGGGTATCACCAGGTGGGGATGACACCGCCTGCGATAAATCGGGGTTGTGACTCGGGCTGTCCGGCGGAGTGGCAGTGAGTTCTTTGCGGATGTCTGTAGCGGTCGAGTTGGCATGGGTCAGCGGGGTGGGGAGATAGTCATGGTCCACGGGTGTCTCCAGTTGTTGCTGGCTCGATATTCTTTGAGAGCGTCTGGGTTTCTTCTGGTCTTGAGAGTCCGTTTCGGGGTTGACCTAGAATTGATCGAGCGCATGGTAAGCAAGGCAAGGCAAGCCACTCCAGGTCCAGGTATGTTGCGTCAACGGTCAGGGTCAACGTGGATAGTAGTACTCACTCTTCCCCGTTTGAGCGAGCTTTTTTCACGAGGCGGCATGGTTCTTACTTATAACACACAGACCCCTGGTCTAGGAACTTATCCACAGGCCAATTAGCGGGAATGACTGGATGAATCACTGCGGCATTGACGTTCCAGACACGGGTATTACAGCAGCAGGAGGGACAGGAAAATCTCGACGAGATTAGATCGAGGTGAACGGACTGGTCCCAGACCCCGCGAAAAGGTGTGAAATTTGGGGGGAGCGAGAGCTATCGAGGAAGTCCGGAGGTGGTGGGAAGAGGAGCTTGGAAGTCGCAGCTCGAGGGAGAAGCGCGGCCGCCACCCGCGCCCCAGCAAAATGAGCCTCGCCGCAAGTACGAGTACTCGGTCCCGTAGTTAGTGTTACTAGTATACTAGTCTATGTCTATGTCTTTGTATATACATATAGATAAATATGGATGTAGGGATTTATCCAAAGTAATATAATTTAAATGTCAAAGGAATTTAAATTAGGAATTTACCCTCCATGCTAGAAATCTGAATAAACAAACAAGGCTCATTCCACGGTGAGGACAATCTTGGCTCCGCAAATCGCGTTGACACGTGCCCCCCGAGCTTCCGAACCCCCTTCCCCAGAATTATTGGATCTCCTGGCACGATCTTGAACTTCCCTAGTTCACAGCTCTGCACTTTCGCCGAGATGGATGGGTACGTCCTTTCTTTTACGTCTGATTAACTTCCTCGTTTATTAATGATCCCTTGCAGTCTCTCCGTCTGCATCAGGCGCTCCGCCTTTGAGAAATTGGCCGCTCTGGCCGTCAACCAATCCGCCCGAGGCAATGAATCGGACCTCATTCGTCTGAACCAGCAAACCCGGCCAGCCCGTCAGGCCGATGGTATGCTCAATGGAGTCTTGAAAGACAAATCCCCCACTTCACGGGTCCCAATGGTGTGCAAAGCTCGACCTCTTGGTCCCCCGCTTCCTGTGGGTGTAGATTGACATATATCGATAGGGAATTCGCGAACTCGACGTCCTTTTGGCTCTTTGTAAAGCTGCCAATTCCGTAAATGACCAAGAGAATGCAACCAAGCTGGTCACTCAGCTGGCTCGCTACCTACCCGAAGCTCCCAGCCAACTGTTTCGGTCGTCGCCATTCCTACAATTTGTCAAACCATCGCCATGGGAAACACTCACCACCAACCTGACCTCAGCACTCCTATCTCTTGGGACAAGGTTCCCATCCTTGCGCCAGGCTGTCGTCACTTCAGCGACAGAGTTTCTGAACAATTGCAGCGAGGCTATCAACGCGGTGACTCCTTTCCAATACTCGTCAAGCGAGGCAGGTGGTCGCGGAGTCGTTCATGAGTCTATTGCCATTCTGTCAATCGCAGTCTCCCTGGTTGGATTCCTGGAGTCGTCAGCCAAGTATACCTCTATTTGGTCCTCCAAGGAAAAGATTCGAATCATCGACCATCTGCGGGTCATGCTCTCCGAACCATTTATGATTGCGGTCGAGACAGCTTCATCCACCATTCGCAATGCCGGTATGACCGAGAATATGTTCAAGGACTGGAGAAAGTACACGCGTCGCTACGCAGTCCAAGGTCGGCCCCTAGGTGCCATGCTCGTGCAGCAGGGGTTTATGCGCTTTGTGAAGTCATCTGCTGCATCCTTGATCGAGTCCGAAAAATTGTCCGATGACCAACTTCTGGACGAGTACATGGCAGGAATGAGTATCGCAAAGGGCTATGACGAGGCTGACACTGCTCTGGTCGAGCGTATCACCGATATCATCAGCGAGGAAATTCATCTGCTTGCGGATGGCTCTGACTATTTACAAGTCGGTTCTCCCTCCCAGCAGCGACTGGCCTTTTCCGTTAAAGGAGATGCGCTAGTCGGTTTCCTGAATTGTGTCGTTCTGGGAGAGGATGCTACAAACAACGACGTTCTTCTCTCATGGCTTGAGGACACTCTGGCTGATGCTCAGCAAATGGCATCTGACAGTCTGGCAATAATTGCTTTGAAATGCACGGCTATCCTCGCTAGGATGTCCTCGAGTGGTGCCTCGATCGGGAGACGTTGCTTGTTGAAGTTTTTAACTCAAGGAGGAACTCCTACCGGCCCAATTGTTGCCGTAGCTGCTAAATGCCTTGCTCAGGTCCTCAGCATTCTGTCTGAAGATGCCGTTATCACTACCCTGTACTCGCTGGGCAATGCACTGAGCCCCAGTACAAATGGTGATTTCTCTGCCCAGGATCAGCTCCTCGGAGACCCCGTTGGCGCATACAGAAACGGCAGCCAAGCATCTCTCTCTGCCTCTGGAGAGGAGGATCTGCTCATATTCAGGAATGTTATTCACGCGATTATGGCCATTGCTACTAGCTGCAATGATGACAAAATCACTGCTCTGGCACAGTCCATGTTGCTTCAGAAGGTTGGCAAACTCGGCGTCGCAGTAGATGCGTACATCATCCAAGAAACTGCCGTCCTCGCTTTGAGCAGCGGGTCGGCCGAGTTCCAGCTGTTGCTGAAGTTCTATAATCGCATTTATCTTGATGGGGTCCACAAGAGTTTGACTGTGATTTCCGAAGCAGTCAAATCTGCGATGTCACACTTGGCGGTGATCTTGGACCGACAGTCCCCTCTCCATAGAATGTATCTGATTCATCTATTGGAGAGCATTGTCAATAAGGGTGATGTGCCGGATCTCGAGACAGAGCGCCATAGGGAGGTCGTCTTTGCCTCCAGCGATATCACCCCTCTCTTGAAACCACTAGCACTTTTGATCTCTGCTTCAAAGACACCAGAAATGTCTCAGTCTCCGCTTGAATATGACGATACTATCATGTCCTTGTTCCGGGATGCTTGGTTTAATATTGCCGTCCACGGAATATCCCTCAACTCAGCTGTTGCGCAGCAGCACATGAAGGAGCTTCGTTTGCTTGCAAGTCACTCGCCGCCACTCATTGCCGAAGAACGCATGGAGTCTCTCGAGAGCGATGTAGAACTTAATACTGTTCTCAGACGAGGCTCCGGGCCGCAACGAGTTTTGGAGCAGAAGAGAACTCTAATTGCGGAGCTTGCCGGTCGCGAATCTGATATCAAACGGCTGGATTACCCAAGATCAGTGTTCCTTAATGCTGTTCTTTTGATTGAAAGTCTCCGTGCATCGGCGGGTGACTGCACCAAGATTCTCAATTACTTCCGCGACCCGTCCCTTGCAACCCCAGAGATGGTTGTCTGCATGAGCGCTGTCGCCGATAAAACTGTCTCCTGTTATCTATCGCGAACCATTTCTGGGGAATATGATGAATTCTCGGCGCCGTTCTTGTCTAAACAGCTGGCAGATTTCCTGGTGGCTTGCTGCCACCGCATTGAAAGGGTTCAGAGTATCGCCACGCAATGTGTTGAAAAGATCATCCGCGAATGTCCTTCGGCACTATGCGAAAAACATTCTCTCTTTGCTCTTCTGGAAATTCTGACTGTTATGTGGTTATCCTGTCTCCAGGGAGAGCTGGATGAATTTGAGTGGAAACCATCTTTGGTTTCCCCGATGGGTATTGTCCGGGTTGACCTACCCGATAACTATGCCTTTAGGAAAGTGACCCTGGATCGATTCCTCGGGCATGCCAAGGCATGGGTCACGGCGGTGTTGAACATTGCTCCTCTAGACATCAAGGGGCTCCTTCAGACCTATCTCTCTGAATACGATGACGATGGGGCCTATGGTCACATCTCTATGGGCCGATCTTTCGCATTGGAAATGGGCTCGCTGATTCCACAGAGCGACCCCCGACTAGGCTCCCTGGATAGTCACGACAGCAGTGATGTCAACCTGGCTTCCGATTTCATGGCACTTTACACCACTCGTCAAAAGTATCGCCGCCCTGACATGCGTTTGCTCCATGGGCCCAACAACGACATATTCGGAACTAGTGGCCATCCACCTGAAGCTGAAATGTCTCCCGAGGCCGCTGATCGCTTGGAGGCTACCCTTTCCCATATATATGGACGCAGCGTTAATGGTGAGGATATACCGCTTGTCGAGGCCCGGGACTTGCTTAGACAAGCCGCTGGCCTTATTTGTAGCAGCAGTAAGCCTCGGCTGTCGGTTGTTCACTACCTTGTTGCTCTGCCCTTCCGAATCTTCACCAAGGAGACGATCAAGCTGGGAGTGTCTCTCTGGCTGGGAGTGATTCATGAAAATCCTAGCATTGAGCCCCGAATTCTCTCAGAAGTTGTTGAGGCTTGGGAAAGAAGCGTTCAGTGCCGACAGGGGCTGTTTGACCCGTCCTTTGAGTATGTTCTTTTTTCACATGGAAATGCTTTAACCAATATACTAACAGCTTTAGATGCGTTGATCCAATGCATGCGCAGATCGAGCTTCTTCCAACTGACAAAGCCCTGATGCTTAAGCAGCAGCAGGATGCGCAGAATGCTTTATCTCCCCACATGCGTGTTCTCCAGTTCTTCGAGAGCCATTTCAATGCTATGCGCCTCGGTAACCTGCAGGATCAACAACTGTTCTGTCGTCTGGTCAGCAGCACGGTCGTGGCTCTCGCGAATACCCAAAGCCACCCCCTGGCAAGAGAAATTCATTTCCGTATAATCGTGTTCGGATTGAAGGTTTTGCAGAACCTAAGCCCACGAAATGGCCCAGCAGCTTGGAAGCTCAAAGATCAAATCCTTTCGGCTGCCCTCAGTTGGTTCAAACATACGCCGAGGTATGCCATGACTTTTTACCCTCGTGAAATGAAGCTCATTTCTAACATCTGTTATCTTCTAGATGGTCTTTTGGCGGCAACCGTCTGCAAATCAAGGCAGAGGATAAGGTTTTCGCTGATACCTTGTCCATGCTTCGAAGCGTTGCGGATATTGCCTCTCAGTCGCAAGGATCCTACAAGTCTTTGCAAGCCAAGCAGGACCTGTTGCAAATTCTCATTGAACACGAGAGATCCCGCCTCCGAGTTTGGCTCTTCCCTCTGGAGCCAGAGCGCAAGCACCATATGCCCTCGATCGGAGGGAAGAACCCTGCAGAGGTATTTATTTCATCGTTATTTCGATACTTTTACTTGACACGGCCTCTAACACGTTCTACCAGGGCGTTGTTTCCTTCCTACGACTTGCGTGGACTGAGAGTCCCGGCCTGGCTATTCAGCTTGCTGCCCGGTTCCCGTCACCGAAGATGCAGCAGGATATTCGATGGCTTATCATGAACTTCCCCGAAAAAGCCATTACTGAGGCCAGTGCCCTTGAAATCATGTTCGACTCTTCTTTGCCATCTGATGTCAATTTCCAACTGAAGGTAAGTCCGGTGTGAGGTTTGAGATCAGAGGACCCTTCGGTGAACTAATACTTTATCTAGTATTTGCTGTATTGGGCGCCTGTCAATCCCACCGAAGCCTTGACATACTTCTTGCCTGCTTATGGGAACCATCCATTCATTCTGCAATACGCGATGCGCGCCCTAGAAAGCCACTCCATGGATGTTCGCTTCTATTTCGTCCCCCAATTGGTCCAGGCCCTGCGATACGATGCTCTGGGATACGTTGAGCGTTATATCCTCGAAACTGCCAAACTATCACAGTTGTTCGCGCATCAGGTGATTTGGAACATGAAGGCAAACTCCTACAAGGACGAGGACTCCCAGATTGTAAGCTTACTCCCCGCTGTTTCCTGCCTTTTTCTTCCGAAATGATCTAACCATACCACGCGCATTAGCCGGATCCTATCAAGCCGACACTCGACCGTTTCCTGGATAACTTGATCGCGAGCTTCTCCGTCGAGGAGCGAATTTTCTACGAACGCGAATTTTCCTTCTTCAGTGAGGTTACCGGCGTCTCTGGCAAACTTCGTCCTTATATCAAGAGAAGCAAACCCGAGAAGAAGGAGAAGATTGAGGAAGAGCTGCGCAAGATCAAGGTTGAGGTAGGAGTCTATCTCCCTAGTAACCCCGACGGTGTGGTTGTTGGAATTGATCGGAAGTCCGGGAAACCGCTTCAAAGTCACGCAAAGGCGCCTTACATGGCTACTTTCCGTATCCAAAAGACTCGACCCCGTCTAGATGCCAAGGCTGCTGCCCTGGTCCACGAGGCCACCCACCAGCGCCAGGTATCAGTACGCGCGAAGGAAGCTGAACAGGAGACATATGAAATCTGGCAGTCGGCCATCTTCAAGGTTGGCGATGACTGCCGCCAAGATATGCTTGCCTTGCAGATGATCGCAGCCTTCCGCAGCATCTTCTCCAGTGTTGGCCTCGACGTCTGGGTCTTCCCGTACCGGGTCACATCCACCGCACCTGGATGTGGTGTGATTGACGTGCTACCCAATTCAATTTCCCGCGACATGTTAGGCCGCGAGGCAGTTAATGGTCTTTACGATTACTTCGTCTCCAAATACGGCGGTGAAGACTCAATTCGTTTCCAAGAAGCACGCACCAACTTCGTCAAGAGTATGGCTGCGTACTCGGTAATCTCATACCTGCTCCAATTCAAAGATCGACACAACGGCAACATCATGGTCGACGACGCAGGACACATCATCCACATCGATTTCGGCTTCTGTTTCGACATTGCACCCGGCGGCGTCCGATTCGAGCGCGCTCCTTTCAAACTGACTTCCGAGATGGTGGCCGTCATGAGTGGCACCCACAATCCCGCACATCATCCTAGCGGCACCTCGGGCATCAGCTTGCCGGGACATAACTCGCACAACCCGACCAATACACAGCCCTATCGCTGGTTCGAGTCCCTGGTCGTCAAGGCATTCCTGGCCTCGCGTCCTTACTGTACTAAGCTGGCCCATATCGTGTCTTTGATGCTTGATAGTGGTCTGCCGTGCTTCAAGCCCGAGACGCTGAGTAATTTCCGTGCTCGATTTGTTCTCGAGAAGAACGAGCGCGATGCTGCGGAGTACATGCGGGATCTTGTTCGCAAGTCTTACATGAGTGTTTCTACTAAGGGATACGATCAGTTCCAGCTCATGACTAACGGTATTCCCTACTAAGTGGAGTAGATAGTACTTAATTGTGTGGTGTGGCCACTATACCTTTTTTTCACTTCGTCGGGCCTTGTTATTCAAGGCCTTATGCCTTTTCTCTTCTTTGGACAGGTTGATTAATATAATTTGGACTTAACATTATCTTATCGCCCCTCGGGACGGAGGGCCCACTTAATTCACCGCTTTTGCTCGCCGGCAGACAACGGCGAGCTGTTGAATATGGTCGACATGAATGGAGGTCGTGGTACAGACACTTTGATACGTCCACATACCTGAATTATGTCTTCATAAACACTCCCATATTGAGTCAGCACCTAATCGATGTTGTTGAGTTTCCACGAAAAAAGCAGAAAATCTCCCAAAAAATAAGACAAAAACATACAACAGCAGGGATTCGCATGTGGTCACCCACCATACTACTAACCTGCCGGCGTGTGGCTTAAGTACGGCTGAGCGGACGGGAAGCCCTGTTCTCCACACCCTATGGTCGTATGTACCTAACGAAACTGCAAAAAGGGATATATCCTCTAGAATTACTATAGACAACATGACCGCCCCTTCAGCGTCGTGCAGCTGGTGGATAGGCCCTCTTAGATTGTCGAGGGATTACTGGGACTCAGTAAGTCGAGTTCAGAAATGCTGAGATTCGGCTTAAGTACTTGAGCAGCTGAGCGGAGCTTGAGAGATTAGAGCAATGAAGGTGCAAGCCCGAAGCCCACGTCAAGTTGCACTTTCTATTGCCTATAAGTTATAACGGCCGGGTTTGGCCCCGGATTTTGCTCCTAAAAATTTCTCCTGGGGCTCCAATGACCCGACCCATCGCTTGATCGTCAGTAGACCTTTCGGATATGTGAGACCACCGCACATGTAGGAGGAAAAAGTGGACCACTTTCCAGGCCAAACTTTATTATAATTACAATTGTACTATTCTACTAGTTCAAGGAACCAGAATTCCTAGAGAAGCGATTTGTAAGAGTTAATAAACGAATATATATGATAATAAGGTAAATTAATAGAGATCCTCTTATTTTCCAATTCTGAGAGTTCCAATGTAGACAGACAATTGCTTATAGTTAAACACACTTCCTCATTAATGATGAACGACGGACGAAAGGAGGCTGGGGCGCGTAAGCACTAACACCGAAACAAAAGCAAGATTGGGTCACACGGCCCGGTCCGCTCCTACTAGCGTGTACCAAGCTGCTTCTATAGTAACAGCTTGAATACAGATAACTCTATGGAGTAGAACAGTATCTATTAAATTACACAGTTCATTAACTCGCATGATAGCCTGTGAAAGCCCGCAGAAATTGCCTAGAATATGTTGGTGCAGGTGACGTCTAGGCTCGGATCCATTGTGGGCCGGTCATGCCAAAGGCCATGTAACGCGTTCATCTAGAAAACCACCTTGTTCTTACTGGCCAGTAATCTAATTTCGAGCGCTCCCCATGCCAAGGATCAAGTTTGTCCCTTCGCAGAGTAGACTGCAAAGCTGGAAGTGAGGCGGCGTATCGCACGCGTGTGGCTTTAGAATCCCCGTACCTACCAATGCCCTCCCGCGGTGTGATGCATGCCAAGAGCTACGTGTACGTCTTCAGTACCAGTCAAGGTATTTGGATAAAAGATAAGAAGAGTGATGGGTTCCAAATTTCACTTAGCCGGAGTTTCTTTTGTCTAGATCTCAGTCATATCAAACTTGGAAATTGACTCAAAATCTCAGTTTTGAATATGGCAGCTTCAGCTCGTTTTTCCTGTCCAAGATGCGAGAGAAAGAACTTTCGCAGTTTGAATGACGTCAAAACCCACTTCATAATGAAATTTCACCCTTTGATATGTCCCATATGTCAAAGAGCCTTTAAAGATGAGCTGGGGGTTATACAGCATTATCAAAACTCCAAGTGCACTTCAACAAACACACCAAACAATGCCCAACAGATACCCCCATCCAATTTGCCCTCGGTATACGTCCAAACAGAATTTTCTGAGGAAGTAGCAAGGCCTTTTGGACATATCATAGAGATTCCAGATGAACATGTTTCATCCAGTTCCCTGGCTTCTGTACCATCAATGGCTTTCGAAGAGAGCCCAGCTCTAGGTACTTGGCCTAAAACCTAATAACCGGTTGGTTCAAGGCTTACATTCAATGCAACAGATTCTTTACCAGGCGTGGGAATTGGAGTCCCTGGTCTCCCAGTCGTTCTGGACCCTTTGGAGCAAAGTCTTATTTTGAGATATTTGCGTTCCAAGTGCCATTCATGGCATCGTCTTCGGGCCGAAAGATACATCCTCGGACCTGGGACCATAAGAAATAAGCAACGAACATCCAAGGGTTCGATTCAGACCTATGAATTTCGAGGGGTACCTCATGTAGATCAACAAGCAACGGGGCTCTGTCAGGCTATCTCTATTGACTGTGAGATGGTCGGAGTGGGAAATGGCCGTCAAGCACTCGCTTTTCTCAGCGCTGTTGACTTTTTAACAGGGAAAATTCTTATAAGTCGCTATGTTGTACCATCAGAGAAAGTGGTTGACTGGAGGTCAAAGGTCAGTGGAATAACAGAAGATACCATTACCAGTGCCATCCACTCTGGTGCAGCATTTCAAAGCTGGCGAGAGGCGCGCGATAAATTATGGGAGTTCATGGACAACTCGACTATATTAGTTGGCCAGTCTCTGAACTATGATCTCGAAGTCCTAGGCATATGCCATGCGAAGATTGTTGACACTGCCATTTTGACTGCCGAGACTGTCTTCCCTTCCATTATCCCCACCAAGCCGTTACCTCGCATGTGGAGCTTGAAGAGTCTTGCGAAGGATTTCTTGAGCTTGGATATACAGAACAGCAATTGTGGGCATAGTGCTTTAGAAGACGCATATGCAGCACGAGATATCGCCATCTGGTGTATCAGAAATCCAGAGGAACTGAAATTGTGGGCAGAAAGAGTTCGACGTCGGGATGAAGAGTCTAAGCTCAGAAAAAGCCTACAAAGGCATCACAAGGGAAAATCCAAGAGCAAAGTGATTGTCTCCCAGTCTACTCAACATTGGGAAGATGGTGCTAAACATGACGATTATTCCGATAATCTCCTATGGTTTGATCTTGCAGATGATCTTGAATGGTCAGAGGGATATGATCCTTGGTCCGATTTATTTGGGATAAGATTTGTTGTATTTATGGATTATACAAGCCCTGATGCCCTTGCTACTGAATAACTTTCGTTTTTTTTTCTTTTTGAATGCTTCTGTTAGCGTCGTTTATTCATATATTGCGGACTCATTATCGGTCTTCATGCCAAATACTTTGTTAGTTTCCAATTTGGTTATTTTTCACAAAACACAGTACGGTGTTAAAATATACTGGAGTGATCAAACATAATATTCTGGCACTGATTGAGAAGAAATCACAATCCATTTGGCAGAAGCAAGCCATAGGCATGTAACTTGAAAGGAGACTATTTTTCTAGCACTTTGTCAAGGAGATTCTTCACAACGTAATATCACTATAACGAGACATCTAGTCTATCCCGACTCTTTCTATGTTTCTATATTCATCCTATTAAGTTACTACTCCCCTTTAATACTTTTTTATTCCATGTGATATAACATCCTATCTTTCTATATTAACATACTATACTCTTAAGTCCCTACTCAAGTAGAAAAAATAAAAATAATCTTATGTCGTTATAGAGAAGTAGATTGATATAAATATGTTCTGACATCTTTTATTGGAACCTAGTAAGGAAAGGTGCTTGAATAGAACTTGGATAATACGGATTCAAGTCAGACTTGAGAAGGAATTGGCTATGAAATCATTTCACTTCAATACGAGACTGACGGCGAACGAATCATCTGGTCATCAATAGGATCCGCAAAACCTTGTACAGGGAGATCGTATTTCAATGTTCTCTCTGTAGAGGTTGAGGAAAAGCAAGGCTGAGGGCTGGGGTCTTGTGCTGTCCCAAGAAAGACACGAAGCACGGAGAGTAACCTCTGAAAGCAATCTTGGGTCTTTGAAGTTTCTTCAAGAATCAGTCTTGTTGCTAGATGAAGTTAACGAAGGCGAGAGGCCCAAAACCTTTAAGCACTTTCTAAAAAAATGATCTTCACCATGAAGAGACAATAGCTGAATTCGAAGACTTAAACTGCTTTCTTGAGTATTGGCGGTGAATACCGCCGCAATCTACTCATTGTGATCTATTTCAGGTACTGTGCGAACTATGAATTCATGCGCCTTCTATTGCGTGGTCCAGCTGTTACTAAGGAAACGCTTAGAATCATTCGCTCTCAGTGCCCTATCTGCAAGCTAGCGCTTCCGAAACAGTTAGCGCTAGGTCGTAAAATTGATTTTAGAGCTGATCTGGATCCAGAATAGTCATAGCCTGCTAACGCCCTAATAGTTAAGTGCCGTTCATTCTCGAGTGCCCAAGTATGCACCGCAGAGCCGAAAGGGTTAAGTTACTAGTCCAGGCATGAATCAATCCAGAAATTCATGCTTAGATCTTTGAACAGATAACGGGAAATGCTCGAATTATTCCTCTTTCCCCAGCCACCAATCACTCCAGGAAAAGAAGGCCGGGTATCAGATGCCAAATTTCTCCGAGATTGCCGCTTTTTCAGAACCCAGAGCGCTTTCCATCACGAAAGGACAGGCCATTCTAGACACAATAGTTCATTGGCTAATCAAATCAGGCGCATGACCTCGTTCGCTTTTGCGACAGGGGCATGTATGCGGCTAGGCTGCTAGCTCGTGGGGGCCAAATGGACTCAAGGGGATGGCACAGCTTCAACATTTCTCTTTTCATTGAAGGTAACCCATAGCTTCTGCACAATATTCTGGATCGGTAGTTTACATATGATAAAAACTAAACCGAGTTGATCAAGGTCCAATACGAGGAACCACTTTGGCGTTTGCAGGCGCCGCGAGTGTAGTTGAAAGGCAGCGCTAACAAATGGAGCCCGCAAAACCCGCAGCACGAAGCGTTACACTGCCCCACCGCAGGTCCATTCCAGAGTAGGGGCCAATAGCCCATCCCGGAGGCATATGGATTAATTTAAATAGACACCGGCATTCGCTTTTCGCTGTGGACTCGAACCATCCTCTCACACGGCAGGAACCGCGATATGGAAGTCCCACCTTCAGACACCCACTTCTCGTTAAGCCTACAATCTGAAGTGGTATTGACCCCCTCATCTTCATCTCGAGGCAATCATCAAGGGGATTCTACGCTCAATCCGGAAACTCCGAGATCGATTCCTCTTTTCCGAAGCTTGAGCCTCAAAGATTCCCCAGGCTCGATGCTTTCACATCAAGCTCAGTCATCAAACTCGTGGCTAAGCCCTGGTAGCTCGCCTGCGACTTATGCCCAGCAGCATAATGCTTCCCCAAGTCCGAGTCCAAGACCTGCGCCAGCACCTTCATCTTATGGTGGCCGACAAGCTGAGAGAAGTAGCTCGATCTTTTCTAATTCAGCCCGAGAAATCCCGCGAATCCCAGGTGCTTTTCCTGAGTCGAGTATCGGTGGGGAAACTCGCCCTTCTGGAAGACTTGCAGCAGAAAGTGAGGAAGAATTAGACAGTGATCAATGTAGTGACATTGAAGAAATTCCCGACACCGGAACTAGCGATCTCCGTGAAGAGGAACTT